GTGTGTGTGTGTGTGTGTGTGTGTGTGTGTGTGTGTGTGTGTGCTGGTCCTGCACTGTTGCGTGTTGCTTGGACGACGTACAGTAATCGTTGCATTTCACGGCGCACGCGTGGGCTGTATACGGAAGTACAGAGCACGGGTTCCGCATGGGGACTACCAGAGAATGTTTGACTGGCGCTTTCGATAACGATGGCCCGCGGCTCACTGCAGTAATCACTCAGCCGTCCGTACTCAGTCAGTTAGTTAATTGGCAGACATGTCCGTTCCACATGCTGGTCCAGAGCGACACATGCGTCCAGTCGGGCCGGCCGGTTGAACTTGATGGTCTGTTCTTGAATAGGGTACGCTGCCGCGAATCTGATTTGTGTAGATGCAGTCATCTATGCAAATGCTCCGATGTGAACGGAGTATGAGTATGCCTTAATTGATGAGTTCAGTAGGTTGCACAATCGCCAAGTTGATTCTCTGTGGCTGCATGAAGCGACGGGACCTTCGCTGAAAGTGAGCACTGTGCACCGAGGACTGTACCGTATTGTATGGAGCATGGTCCTGTTATGCCAGCTATTCCGCTCTTCATAGAGATTTCATCTCCTAAGCAAAGGGATGATTGATGACAAGACGACTTGTCTTGCGGTGGACGCATTCATCGAGCATTTTCGGATGGACAACAACGGTGAGCAAGCCGGAGGCTGGGATGGGAGCCAAGCGTTCGCGAGGCTGCGAAAGTCGGGGGTCAGAGAAATTGTATCGACGATGGGCTCGAATTACACTCTCCGTTCAGTTACCTGTGATGAATGGTAAGCACGAAGGCGAGGTGTGCTCTCCAACCTGAGACATTCCCTTCCCTTGTCTGCGTATAGAATCTGCATTAGACGCGCATGACATATGTGTGAGAGGCACCCTATCTTGATCTATTCTTATCATCACCACCGCCTCATGCTTTGAAACTTCCTTCGGAGATCACTGTCCGCGATATTGTAGACGAGGGCCTCATCAACGGGCATTGGAGCCAGCTTGGGCGGCCGCAACTCGTCCTCATTCATCAGTTTCGTTGCATCGTGGCCGAACAACCAGTCGAGCCTGGTCGAGTTGGCCCAGAAGAAGGGGTTATCCAGGTTATCTTGTCTGATCAGCTGGTCTCGCCGGTCTCTTTCTGGACCGTCGTACAGATGCCACCACGCCTGGAGGATTCGTGTATTCTTCGCCACGTGAGTCGATCGGGGTAATCTTTGCGTCTGGTAGGCGTGGAGCGCGTCGTGGAGGTCCTCATGCTCTCGAAGAGCTGCTTGTAAGGTGGCAGCATCCTCGGTTGCCTGAGCCGCGCCTTGAGCCAAATATGGCATCATCGGATGGCATGCGTCTCCCAGGATGGCGACCTTGCCGCTGGGATGGACCCACCTCTGCAGGTGGTCAAAGTCGGCGAGTTTCCATTTGAGGTAAGAGTCTGTGAGGCCACACAGTTTCCGCACAGGCGGGCACCAGTCGGCAAAGCGCTGGACGAGCTCCGTGTTGTCGGCCTGGGAGCGCCATTCCTCGTCGCCAATCGGGCGGCCTACATCGGTGTGGTGTGTTATGTCGATGATGATGTTGTAGAGCTCGCCGTCACGGAGGGGGTAGCCGACTGCGTGCGCCTCCGGTCCGAGCCAGTGCATGGCCAAGCCACTTTCCAGCAGAGGGCGCAAGTCTGGATCATTTCGAAGCCGTTCGGCCGGTACGATGACCCGGTATGCCACATCGCCCGTGTCTTGAGGCTCGATCGGGGAGCCGTTGATGGTGTTCCTGACCGCGGACTTGATCCCATCGGCACAGATGATAAGGTCTGCTGTAAGGCGTTCACCACTCGCCAGTGTCACGGCCGGGGCTTCAAAGTCGTAGTCCCGCACCTTGCTGTCCATCCGCAGGGTGATGTTGTTGTGTTGGGAGGCGGTCCTGACGAATATATCGATCACGTCCGCCCGGTGGAGGAAGTAGTACGGCGCTCCATACTTGGCCTCCACGTCATTGTAGTCGACGTCGAGCAGCACTTTGCCCGTCCAGTCAAGGAATCGCAGCCCACGAGCGGTTTGTCTCTTGATCTTGCTGAAATCGACGCCCCAGCTCCGGCTGAGACGCGATGAGTTTGGGGGAACCCGGATGCCAGCACCAACCTGGTCACAACGTGGTGTCAGTATCGTCGTGGCGTCACGAAAATCTGTTGAGCTTCACCCCTAGGAATTCTTTGACCCCTTCGAGGACAGTAATCTGGTGGCCATCTGTCGCAAGAGCCAGAGCCGTCGACAGGCCACCGATCCCTCCTCCAACAACTATCACCTTGAGGTCCTTCATTGTGTCGAGTCTTGTACGTCAAGTTGATCTCGTCACTGTTAGTGTTGGACATGAGCGTGCTCCGCAAGGATTCATCCTCTCAGGCTACTATATATCGATTTGGATGAGCATGTCCGAGAAGCACATCTTCAATCTCACCATTGGTAAGGCGAGATCGGAGAGTTCTCCAAGTTGCCGGAACAATGTAGCCGCGGTGAAACTCCTTGTCGAAGTAACCATGGTTCTTATTGTACGGTTCACCCCGCACAAGCTGACGTGGAGTCTATCCTCATAGCAAGACTGAGGCTCTTATTCATAGGCCCCTCGCTGTGCCAAATGTCTGCGAAAGAGACGCAGCGGTGCAAGCGTCGCAGCTGTGGTAGAAGACCATGTCACCCTCATCTGCGGGGCGTGGCATATTGACAACATCCTCAGCTCGCTCTGGGCCCCTGACTTGGCGACATCCATCTCTTGAGTATTCAAGTTTCACGATGGTGTATGGGGTCCTCGAATCGTGGACAATATGCTTAAGACTGGAACCCAAGACGTGCGACAATGGTGGCTGGCCTTAGGTCGATTCCTTTGCTGTTGACTCCTGCTCTCTTGCAGTCTGAAAGGATTGCGGAATGGTGCTTGCGAAGGGTGATTGATTGTATTGCAAACACAAGCCCCAAGGCTTCTCACGGCCACGATTCGCTAGACTCACAGAAGTCCTGTACTGTACGGTATGGCAAGCAAGCGCAGGCGTAGTGAAGGGCAAGGGCTTTCGTGGCTAAAGCGCAGCCGGGGAGGAAGCATCTACTGTTCTGAGAGGCATGTTAGTAAGAAATGCGCAGGCCGCTATCCAGCTGCCAGTGCGGCTCTGGCGCAGGCAGGTGAGGTCCTGATGTGCCTGAGGTGGCCCAGCGACTGTCCAAATGGGGCGCAGTTAAGGCTGCACGCTGCAGGCGCTGGCCAAGCTTACCTACGTCGGTACCTAGGTACCTAGAAGCTAATTAACTAGAGCCTGTGGTGCCTGGGCTGCACACCTTAGGCAAGCCAGGGTCAGCCTCGCAGCGGACCTCCACAACTTGCTAAACACCTCGTCACCGCGTTAGGTGCGTGGCATTCAGCCTCTGACAAGGAAGGTTCAAGCCATTCTGGACGCGAGGCGCTGCTCAAGCGAGAGGACCATAGCCTGTGCAAAGAGCCGGCCTCTCTCCAAGACGAATTACCTGATGGGTACCATAACACGATGAGTGGTTTGCTCTACGCTGAAATTGACACTTCTGAGTGGGTAGCACTGCATATGAACGACATCAAAGGCTGACAGGCAAGACCCAGAGCTCGATGACCAAGATTCCGGAACCCGACAGGCAAATTGCTCCCCTGACCCAGCTTCGATCCCCCCTTCACCTGCTCCCCCTCAACCATCCTGTTCAGGGCATCACGACTTCTTGGTCAAAACACCCACCACATGAACAACGGGGCTTAACTCATCGGCCTGTTGCACCTCCACTTTAGCCCAGCCTCCATCCCTGGCGTTGGCCACCTTCAAGAACGTATCCATCGTGTTCCGGGTCAGACAACACCCGCCCATCAACTGCTTCCACCCCAACAACATGTAGAACTGCTGCGCCAGGCGCGCCACCCAGTGGCCCGTGTTCAAGACGTGCTCGCAGATGACGAACCGCCCGCCCGGCTTGAGCAAGCTATACAAATCCGCCACGCTGGCCGCCTGGTCCGGCACCCCGCACAGGACACGCAGACAGACAATCTCGTCGAAGAGCTGTAGATCCGTCGACGACGTCTTGCCCTCCTGGATCAGCCCGGCCTTGATCAACGCCGGGATCATGGCGTCCAGGTCGGCGGTCGCGGCCAGGACGTGGTACTTGTCGCCCAGACCGGCCGCGCGGGCCTTGTCCCTCAACTTGTCGTGCAGCGAGACGCCCGGCTCGACGCCGTAGATGGCCGTGATGTTCTCCGGGTGCGTGAAGCGCTTGACCTGTTCTCCGGAGCCCGGGCCCACGTCGAGAATGACGCCCTTGCTTTGGGCAAGCAGAGGCGGCAGGCTCTCGGGCGTGTCGTCGGCGCACATGGGCCCAAACGTGAGCCACAGGTTGGCGAAGGCTTTCTCCTTGAACGACTCGAGGTCGCGGAGCGGTAGGAGCGGGTTTTTCACAAAAGTAAGCCCGAAGACTGAGCACTGTGTGTGAGCTCGACCACGATGGCTGGGATGCGAAGCAGTCACGTCAATGGGGGAGAAAGGTACTTACAGAATGCGCTCGCGCCCATGAACGGCAACGGAAAGACCATGCCCTTGATGTATTCGAGAGTTGTCGGGGCCATTGTGGGTGCTGCCGCTGTCATTATTCTGTTGCCATGGCCAATACTGTTGCCCATTGTATGACCTCCTGCGGTCAACCACTAATCTCACTCACCTTGTAGCTGGTATCCCTTGATCCACTTCCACTGTTCGGTCTCAGGTACTTGGCTGTGTATTGTGTTACGTCGTGGAGGTATCACTGATGTGGAGCAGCTTCGCTGGATAAATGCCGATCGGACCTCTCAGTACATAGCCAGGCCGTCGTATAATCCGGGGATAGCTATCCCTTCCACTCTCGTTCCCCAGAGGTCAGAGGTCAGAGGTACAGTACCTATGAGACCTAAGACCTAAGACATAAGATCCAAGATCTAGTATACTAAGGTGCTTTCTGCCTTGTCTTGTCCTGTGTCGTCCTATGGACAGACAAAAGAGGTTCTAATTAACATCGCTTATCTTCCCCGCCATGCCACGCCGCGCCATGCCGTATAAATATACTTTCGACCGGGCATCTACTCGTATCTGTCGCCTTAACTTCCCTCGGTACGCTGGACACGGTATTCCTAGGTCCTGTTCCTCCCCCAGTAAGTCGTCCCTCACGAGTGCTCGGATAGCGTGGCAGGTGACGCTCTACGAGGATCGTGTTCTCGCTTAATTGGCACCCTGTACTCCGTGACTCCGTATTTGCCCTGCTTTACTCCGTACTGTACTCGTACCCCACGAGTCCGCCCTATGCTGATCTATCTGATCTCCTCTCATCAACTGTTGGGCGCATTGATCTCCACACCAGACCAGTCCAAGCGAGGCGTGCGCTTAGAGACGATCACTGCTCACTGCCTACCGCTCACTGCCTACCGCTCACTGCCTACCGCTCACTGCCTACTGCTCGCTACTCACAGATCACACCGATCGAGGGTCTTCCATTCGCAGTTTAAATTCTGCTTGTCTTCCCTGCCGAGTTTGTTTGATTCGACACCTCGCAGTCCTCTTCTCTTCGACCATCCCGAATACTTTCTACCGCCCCGCGTCCCCTCAGTTCGGAGGGGCTGCTCACCTGCGAGTTTAGGTACCCACCGTTGGTGGTGTTTGTTCTCCGTACGGTACGAGTGCGGGCGCGTGGCTACGTACCCACGGTAAATACATAATGGCACGACAGGACATGACGACGCAGTACATACTCCGTACGCAAGGAAATGGCAATGACAATCAACTGGTACTCCGTGCTGAGTACATACCTCGACATTCGCATCGCGTACGAGGGTCCTCCAGGCACTCCCGGTGAATTCCTCGCACTCGCTCGCTCGCTCGTGTTGGGGCGACGGATTTCGGGGACTGTCGGGGTTCGGCCAAGGGCATCGTTGCCCGTTGCCGGATACCTACGTACTTAGGTACCTAGGTATGGACCTGTAGGTATGTAGGTATGTACTCGACTTGTGCTGTACTGCACTGCGCGCACTGCATACATTGTACTACGTATGTACGTTACTGTATATGTAACGTTCATGTCTAGCGTAGACTATATGGACTCGGCTGCATATACTCATAGTATTGCCCAGAATGTATTGCTCAGAATGTATCGCTTGGAGTGGTATCCGGCTCAGCGAACACAGTAGCTGCATTACGGAGTACTCTTCACTGGTTCATCATTAATGGGAATCCTTATTTGCGCGTTCACCCCTTACACGTAATGCAGTTACACAGCTTCATCTCCTCGAGGTGATCTCATCAAAACAGAAAAGGCCACATAATCACTCAGTCACTCGTCGTACTCGACGTAAGTCATACCTCCTGCTTCTCAGCCGCCGCTTTCGCCCCTGCATCATCCCCCTTCCTCCTCCAATGCCAATACCGCAGCGGTAATCGGCGATTGGCTATCCTTTCCCTGTCCCTGTCCTTGTCCTTCCTCCCCAACCGCTTCTCATACTGCTCCACGCAAGGCGCATACAAGAGCTCCCCCGAGAGAGCGCCCTTAAGCGTCCCTAAGCCGACGACCATCCACAGCAGAACAACCGCCACGGAGAAGATCGTGCCAAGCACCTTGAAGAACTCGCTGGGGATCTCTCTGGCCACAGTGCACGTCGACACGGCATACACGCCGAGCGGGAAAGTGAAGCCCCACCATCCCATGTTGAACGGGAACCTAGGAAAAGCCTGTTAGTTGAATTCCGTTCCTCGTTGCGAGAAAAGCGGTATGAAAAAAAAAAAACACTCACCTGCTTCGCGTGATGCTCGCGACGGCAAAGAATAGCCACACGAGACCATACCCCCAGATGACGAGCGCCACGACGAGGGAGACGCTATACACGATCCGGCCGCTGTCCGGGCCGAAATTCTCCGTCTGGGGAAACACCTCGGCGCATACCTTGCCCAGCTGCATGAGCGCGAAGCTGCCCTGCCCGAGGGGCCCCAGCGGGAGGAAGACCGAGACGATGACTTCCCTGGCTGGGAGCCGGTGGATGGTCAGGCGGTGGAAGTACATGACCAGGACGACCATGGCGAGCGGGAAGCCCGTGCCCCAGAGGACATAGGACGTGACGATCGTCCAGAGTTGGTGCTGTCGATCGGGGAGCACTTCGGCGACAATGCCGCCCGAGGCGGCGGCCACAATGGTCGACACGACGGGCAGGAGCCACGCGGCCGTCATCTTGGAGAGCTCGCTTTGGTGCATGTGCATGATGACAAAGGGCAGCCACATGCACGTGATGACCGCGACGGCCACGTCGATCCACCATAGCGTCCACGCCAGGGTGATGACCCATGGGCCCCAGTGCGCGACGCACACAAAGACAACCATGTTGACGATGGTTGCCAGGCCCATGGGGAAGGTCCCGCAGAACAATGATTGCACGGGGTGGCGAATCATGGCCATAAAGAGGCCGGGAAACATCGTGTACCGCAGGATGGAGATGAAGAGGAAGATGCCGAATAGGCCGACGTTGAGGCAGAAGACGATGACCGAGAGCCAGTATAGCCAGTCGCCGTTGTAGGGTAAGTTGTGCAAGAGAATCGAGGCAATGCCTGTCCCCATCGTCGCCGCAAACCAGGAGGGCGTGAAATTCAGCACCACCCTCCTCCATCCATGCTGATTTCTGGCGGAAAAGCTCGCTATCAGGTCCTCGGCGGCTGTATGCTGTTCGCATGTCGGACGGCCGCCTGGTACATCCTCATGCGTAGCGGCAGGGTCCATCGTGAGCGGTGACGCGAAGGCTCTCTTCAAGATTCAACTCGGTCTGGCGTCTTAAGGCTAGGGGACTTTCATAGTCCACCGCTGTGGATAAGTTTTGGGAGCCGACGTGGCAGACATCACGAAATGTCAGTGACACAGTTATAGGTAAAGGAGTCATAGCTTTCCAAGCGTGTAAGGATCCTAAACTTCAGCAAATGAGGCTTTTCGGGATACCGAAGCAACCATTTGTGGCGGTACCTCTCCCGCTCTTCCGGGCCTTAAACCCCCAGAGCTGGCGAGGCTGAACCCACCATCGGCCAAGCACGTGATACGGCTTGGTCCCTTTGGATGGGCGCGTGACAGCCATGAATCATGGGTAACTGCCTTCGCACGATGCTGAATACCTCGTAGATATGCTTTTCGGCTCATAGATTCGTCGTCTCGGCGTCTCTTGCCGATCTTCGACCAAAGCGCGCTGCGGTGGAAGTCGATCGTCGGTGACAGCGGCCATCTCCCGGCGAGGCTGCAAAGGCTGAAGGAAGCACTGGGCGCTCCGGGCTCCGGGCTGCCACGCTGCCTGCCCCGCACTCCGAACATCCGGCGGTCAGGCACTTTGGTCTCCCCCTGGGATCCTTCAGTGGCTATCATATCAACCTCAGATTCCCAGACTTGCTCAGATATTGGTCCGCGTCAACAAACATCCAGAGCCACCGGACTCACTTCACACACTGTATCTTGGTGAGAACCGACGGGCATGGTGGACGTCCAGCCTGAGAGAGCCACGCGTCGCAGCAATTCGCGCCGCTGACGCGTCTCGTCGGTAGCGGCTTCAATATGCCCAAGCTAAACCGTCTTCAACGCTTGCTCGGACGGATTCCATCGTATGTGACGCCAACGGACTCGAGGTGCACACCCGCGTGGAGAAGATTCGGCCAAATCAGGGCAACCAGCTCGACCAATCGGCACCCGCACAGACTGAGCTCATTATCCCCGGCGGCTTTAATTGGGTGCGCCGTTGGCGGGAGTACCATCATCGCAGCTTCGGTCCTGTATTGGGCTCCAGTTGCGCAAGCAGAGGCTCCACCTCCAAATGGGACGAGGTTCATCCGCCTGGACGAAGTTAGACAACATGGACGAAACTCCGAGCGGAAATGGGTCATGAAAGGACCTAGGGTGTTCGACATCACAGACTGGATCGCAGCTCACCCTGGCGGACCTGTGATTCTGCGCGCGGTCGGCGGTTCCATCGATCCTTACTGGGACATCTTCACGATCCACCACAAGCCAGATGTGTACGATGTGCTGGAGGAGTACTTCATCGGCGAGATTGACCCGAGAGATCGAGTCAACGGCCAGATCAGAAGTGACGATGTTGAAGACCCGTTCGTCAATGATCCGAGACGAGACCCGCGTCTGATTCAGCACACACGGACGCCTTGCAATGCAGAATCTCCCAAGACCTCTCTGGACACCTTCATCACCCCAACCGAGACATTTTACGTTCGCAACCATTTTTGGGTTCCAGAAGCGGACGAGGAGTCACACAAGCTGACGGTGGAGCTCCCAGATGGCAGTGAAAAGGAGTACACTCTGTCGCAGCTCAAGCGCAACTTCCCACCATTCCGCATAACAGCAACTCTGCAGTGTTCGGGCAACCGACGAAAACACATGACCACGATGGCGAGACCTGCAAGTGGCCTTCAGTGGGACGTAGGCGCCATATCGAATGCAGAATGGACCGGCGTTCGTCTGAGTGATGTCTTGCGCGATGCAGGGTTCGACGCTGATGATAGTGATTCCGAAGACGTTAAGCACGTACACTTTATCGGAGCTGAAGCATATGCCGCGTCGATACCAATTGAGAAAGTGCTCAGTTCGCGAGGAGATGTCATGCTCGCGTATCAAATGAATGGCAGACCCTTGCCGCAGGATCACGGCTACCCGTTGCGTGTCCTCGTTCCCGGCCATACGGCGGCGAGAAGTGTCAAGTGGCTCGAAAAGATTGTCCTGTCAGATGAAGAAAGTCAATCCCAGTGGCAGCAGCGAGACTACAAGTGCTTTGGACCTAACCAGCCCGCCAAAGGCGTCGACTGGTCCTCAGCCCCGGCCATCCAGGAGACACCCGTTCAGTCCGCCATCACCTCGATAAGGGACGTATCCCGCAGTGGCTTCAATGAGCATAAACAGCTGCAAAAGCCTGGATCCAAGGAAGCCGCAGTCGACGTGGTAGGATATGCGTACAGTGGAGGAGGCCGAGAAATCGTCCGAGTCGACATCAGCACAGATGGAGGACGCACGTGGCTACAAGCAGACCTGCTTCCAGACGAGTCGAAAGGCCAGAAGAGTTGGTCGTGGAAGCGATGGCAGGCAACCGTGAGCAAGCCTCCAGCGGGAGCTGAGTTCGTGGTAAAGGCTGTTGATGACAGCTATAACACACAGCCCGAGTCGTACGAAGCCCAATGGAACTTTCGAGGTAACTTGACGACAGCATGGCATCGAGTTCCGTATGGTGATGATGGTCCGCAGGCGGATAAGAGCTAATTGCCAGGCCGTTGTTGGTTGCAAAGCCTCTAGCAACATGACCATACTGCAAGAAGAATTCTTCGAGGGCTACCAGCCGGGAGATGACTGACGTCCATGGGGATGTGACTCTTGTCATGCCTGGAAGGCGGCCTGTGCCTGGAGAACGAGCTCGACGAGTCTGATCGCCTTTTCTTCTTCAAACCTCCGGCACATGAGCTGGAGACCTATGGGCGCCCCGTGAAATGCGGAGCTGTTATCTGCGCATCCATGTCAGCATCCGGAGGAATCACAGGTTGCCCACCTACATGAGGCGTTTACGGAGTTGTCTTCTGGGCTCAGCGGGACGAATGAGCTGGTTTTGGCGTCGAGGGTTTTATCGACGGAACCGGCTGGGAACGAGACTGCTGGGAAGTCGAGAACGTTGACAATCGCACTATACCCTGTACTTGCTCAACAACTACCCGCATTGCTTTTCCTTTGTTTTACTCACCAAAATATGTCAACGTATTCTCATAGCACGCCGCATTCGCACAGACGGGCATAATAACTGCATCGACCGGAATGCCATTGATGGTGCTCTTTCCAGTCGACTTCCAGAGCTTTTGATACTCTGCCTGGTACTTCCGGAGTGATCTAATCAAAGTCAAATACTCTGGCAGAGGTAGTGGCTCAGTGGTATCCTGAAAATACCACTCCCTTAGCATTGGCACGGGCGGCTCTCCACCCTCTTTGATGTGCTGTCGCGTTGCTTGCGCACCGTCGGCGCCTATGGTTTTGAAGTAAGCCTGTACCGCTGCTGCATGGGGTGGGGGGTTCCACCCCAGGACATGATAGTCTGCTCGCCGTAACGCGTGAACAATCGACCTCAAAGCTCGTCGAATAGGCGGCTGTGGCTGGACGTTGCCATCGCATTCCAGGACAGCAAATGTCGGGCGTCTAGGCATCAGCTCTCTGATTTTGGCTTCCCTCCACGGCATGTCGACCCACGTGGGATCTTCATCGTACGCAGCGGCTCCGAGGCATAGCCTTGCCATGTGTCGCAGTAAAGGGAAGTCCCATGACATCATGGCTATGGTGAAATTCCTCGACGGCAGACTTGAGTCACTTGAGGCAATGCCGAGCGTTGGCAATCGTCCGGAGGAAACCTTGAGGCTGAACAGACCATTAAATGCCGCTGGAATGCGGGCTGATCCGGCAAACTCGGTGGCCCATCCAAATGGAGAGCCTTTCATCGCAAGCAATGCGCCCTCCCCTGGTAATAGTTAATCAGCGATTCTGCGCCGTGTCATACCCCTGGACCATACCTCCTGCAGCACCACCGCTGGAGAGAAGCCCTGAATGTGGATTACGGGTACTTCCGTGTATATTGTTGGTGGTCTCTGCCAATGACATGCTTTGAGGGACGTTAGTCTTGCAGAAGGGGATGGCGCCCAGTGTCCGCATATGACGAACACTGAGCGACTCGGTGGCCTCAGTCTCCTTAGGCCCGAGCCACGAGATAAAGCCTGCGGCTGTTTCTGTCCCAGAAACCCGAAAGCGGTCCATGAAACTGATTGGGAGGCCATGGAGCGGGCCCTGCAAGCACCCTTTCTCACGGCGGTACTGGTCCAGTTCTCTCGCCGTCTTGATGGCTTCCTCGAATAACACCTCCGTAAGACAGTTGGAAAATTGGTGACAAACGGCAGCCCTATGGCAGTAAGCACGAACAACGTCCTCGCTGGACCAGATCCCCGCATGTATATTGGCCAGCGTGTCCAAGGGAGCAGTCTCCGTAATTATCAACTCGTCCTCGGACAGGTATTTCCGGGGAACATCGAGAATTGGCAGACGATCTTGCCGGCGTGGTATCTGATCGGGGCTGACTCGCCATGGCGTTGGAATAGCTTTCTGCACGCTGGCCCGTTTGGCAGCCGCCCGATTCTCCCAAGCAACGTGTGGCATAGTGAACTGCGCTTGCGGATGTCGAAGACTAGACTGCAGAGGCCCGCGCATCACGAGGACTAACTGGTTCCGACCCTGGGTGGTACGTTCTGATAGCGGGTGACGTACACATCATACCATGTCTCTCGCAGCCGCCATATCTCGCGCACCTGCAGGGACGGGCACCGAGCAGTGCGTCGTACGACAAGCCAGGTTTGAGGAAACGGAGTGTTAGCGGCGCTCACAAGCGGGTTTGCTGGAGCTTGCGTAGAATCGTCATAAACCGACCGTCAAGCACGAGTCACCGCAAGAAAATTGTTCCGCGGAGCAAGTGTATGCGAGATGGAAGGTAACGTCGACGCACGAAGCACGAGTGATACGCAGGAATGTCGCGGCTCCTATGGATGAGCATCCTGATAAAGCGCGTCGGAGTTTGACGCTGGTCTTCCGACAGGTTGATACATTAGCCGCCTCGACCTGGTGGTATAGTCTACACCAATGCTCCGTAATTATTACTGCGATAGGTATTGGTGATACGAGTGGACTTCGCCGACGTCATGGTCGACCGTCCACCTACGAGGTACCGTCTCACTCATCACTCATCGCGAAGTCACGCAACCACTTGACGCGCTTCCCAGCATTCTCGTGTGTGAACGACAGGTGGGACTAAACACTGCTTTGGCTCGAGACAGTGAACTTAAATACCGCAGGAAGCCCTGACCTGTGAGACGAGCAAATCCTCCAGACCGCTGAAACTGATCTTCTGGGAGAAGACACGCTCCGACCATCCACCATGTTCTTTATCGTTCCAGAAAGCAAGGCCTCGAATACACCTGCCAGCCCGCCCTCAGAGAGCCCATCGGGGTCGCCGCGTCCTGCAAAGCGCCAGCGCATGTCGCCAGATTCTGATGACACGTCCGGCTATTATCCAAAGAGAACACCCAAGGCCTGTGACCGTTGTCGGCTGAAAAAGGCACGTTGTCAATGGACCAGGGGAAAGATATGCGACAAGTGCAAACGAGACGGTGTTATATGCACAACAAATAGGGAATCAAAAAGGGAGCCGAAGACGCCCAATGCCGCATACGTCCAGCTGGTCGAGTCCCAGCGAGATTGTCTCCTGCGAGCGATCAGTAGAATCGTTGAGGATGGATTGGTGAAGGATAAAACCGCCATGGCTAAAACCTTGCAAGATTTTGGGATTCGAGCGGACGCTTTGAGGAAGGCATCGCAACACAAGCCTGAAGACGAAGATGGGGCCGACACCAGAGATGCTGATCTATACCAGAATGCCGCCGAGATCCAGGCTCTGCTGGACGGATACGACTCTAGCAACGGGATTGTCACACAGCCTGGCTCGTTTGTTGACCTCTCCTTCAACGATGGCTTCACACCGAATTACGCCTTGCCAAAACCCGCGGCAGACATATTGCCCACATTGGACACTACGTTTCTGCCGTCAATAGATGTCGCTGACTGGCTTATGCCCAATGGGCCGGGGGACAGCTGGCTTTCACCTGCCATCGACTTGGTGGCTGGCCGATGAACAATTCACAGTGGATGGTCGTTGCAAGTTCAATAATCTGTTTCAAGAGCTTTTAAACGATCTAACGATCGACATATTCAGTGCTTCTAGGTCGTGCCACAGCAGCTATCCTTCTGCCGGACACACGATACGGAGAGAGGATATTTTGCTTTTCGGTTGATTGAACGCAAAAATTTAGCGTGAGCGAGCCTGAGTTTCTGGGTTGTGGTAAAGGTGGGCCGGACTGTCCGTACATTTCTGTACCAGCACCGTACTAGGTGCAATGAATGAAACTGTGATTTGCTTTGAGACGAAATTTCTGCCTCTGATGTCCCAATATTGTCATGGTAGAGTCTGGCAAGTGGCAGGTGGTACGCCGCAAAGTCACTACGTCTTCGGGTCAAACTATGAGCCAGAGCAACAAGGAGATAAGTTCTTGTGACCAGATTGAATCAAGGAAGCCCTTGACACTGTCGTCGTGTCCCAAGAAGATTCGATAGATGTCCTTGCGGAACAGGTCCCTGTGCTCGCATGGCGGTGCTGCATGCCAGATGCCAGCTTGAAGTGGGAGAGACATTCCGGCATTGGAGCATCATTGGCATAGAATCCATCAACCATACTCGCGATGTGACCAAGGGTCGGTTTATATGATGCCCTTCTCCCAAGGATCAAAGGCAGAGGCTAGATCACCAACTTGGAGCAAATCGTGCAGGACCCGACTGGCCCACTTGGAGAGGGCTTCGGTCGGCGATCAGTGGCACTTGCCAGCCGAGCCCTTGACGGATCCATGCGAACTCTCAGGGCCATAGACGCCAAAGATGTCCCCTGCGTACCATCTTGACGCCGCTCTAGGGAACGTGCCTGCCCTGCTCAACATGAATTACTCAAGCAGCGCTTCACCCTGCTGTCCTCCTAGGCCACGCCACGCAAGGCACATAGAATCGAGGATCGGATGGGAAATGGCGAGTACACGATGATGTGGCGCAGGTCTTCGACGCAAGTCACCCCGTGGTGTTAATCATAGACATATACCAGGCTGGGTGGGAGAAACACGAGGAAGAAGGATCAAGCAAGGAAAGGCACATTGAGACGCACGAGGAGGCAAAGAGCTTCGTTGTAAAGCCGAATACTCCGCCGTATTTTCGCATTTGACCTCGACGTGCAGAATGCGAGTCATTGTCGAATGACGGGCCACTTCGAAATCCGTCCAACGCGGGACACAACCTCTGCAGAGCATGAGCTCCGTGCATTTCGTTTCAACAACCGCAATGTGACAAGGCAACGGGCGCTTCTCGACAACGTCCTGGTATCTGGTGCGCATTTCAAAGCTCGGCGATTCGACCGTCAAGCAGCGATGTCCTCCCCACCACTGCCCTTCAACGTGTCTGCCGAGCTCAAGGCCCTGAGACACGAGAAGCAGAACCAAGACCTCCGCCGATTACCTCCAAATGCTACAGTTCGACGCCGTCCGCTGAACCATGCACCGATCGCCGACTTGCGCTCTTCTGGCGCAAAGGCCCCCAAGGTCGTTTATGTCTCGCGTCGCACCCCCGCAGTCGCAGCGATCAAGCGCGTGAAGCGATATCTGACCAGCATCGAGAAGCGCGCTCTGCAGAATGCAGGGGTGGGGGGCACAAGGGAGAGGGTGCAGGGGCCGAGAAGTGCAGCTGAGAAGGCGAACGAAGTACTAGCGAAGAACAAGGAAGAGGTGCTGGTCAAGGCAAGTGGAAGGGCGATGGCTCAGGCGCTCCGTGTGGCTGAGTGGTTCCGCACCCACGAGAAGGACATGCTCTGTAACGTGGAAGTCAGGACCGGAAGCGTCAGCACCGTAGATGACATTGTGGAGGGCGATGGGGACCATGAGAATGAGGACAAGGACAAGAATGACGAGGAAGCAGTGCGGGAAGAGCAAGAATCTGTGAAGCAACAGTACGGCGACACAACGTTGGAATTGCTAGGTGGTCCCGATGTGACTACGCTGGGTTCAGCTGAGCAAGCTACGTCGACTGGAGATTCGAAACCCGAAGGTGCTGGAGAGAGGGACGATGGGGACACCAACATGGATGATTCGCTGGTGAAGCAGTCGAGGCGAAAGCGGAAGAAGCGGAAGAGACAGATGTATGAAGCCGATGAATTGCCCGAGGCGCGCATCAGATGGGTCAACACGGTTGAGGTTGCAGTTTCATTGCAGGGCTGATTTTCACTTGCCAACAGGCCAGGCAGGCTGGAGGGTCTCTGCCACGTTCGCAGGCTAGAGGGATCGTCCATCATCATTGAGCAGTCTTATCATGACTGACGAGAATGGAATAGCTGAAGTGTCTCGGGCACCAGCTCGGTGGCCGCAAGCTCGTGGGCACTACCTTTCGGAGGGCGTCGGCTGCAGAACTCCCATCTTGTATCTCATATCGATGCACTTCTTGAAGTTTCCTTGCTGGGCAAGGCCAACGTGGCAGGGTGCTTGTCGAATGGTGCTCGGGATAACCATGTGACTATGTCTGTATTGTACATGGCTCTTGGTCAGAAGCCATAGCATGCTCTGTCATGTAGCGATACAAGGATGCTGTCCTTCGACTAGGGTGAAATATCGAGGGCTTTTATGATTCGACCGGAGCAGGTTTTCTGAAAGACACTTTCTCTACTGCGACGTTCTCGTTTCCGTTTTCATCCTTGCGCAGCTGGTAGACGTATAGTACCAGGACATCTCCTTGGATCTGTCTCGCAGTCAGCCTTCGCATACCAATCAATACGGCCGAGCACGTACGTCCATCAAGCAGAAGCTTGGGATCGGCTCCTCGTCGATGGCTAACCAGCTTGTGCTAAATGCGCCTGTCGCGCTACCTGGATTGACGAAGAATTTCCCTTCCAGTTCATACGCTTCGAATTTATGGGTGCCTCCCCATAGCAGAACATCGACATCCATTTGTCGAGCTGCGATCAGCAGGGCGTCGGCATCCCCTGAGGGAATTACAGTGTGGCCGTGTGTAAAACCGATACGGAGTCCTCCATGCTGGACCACTTTTGACAGTGCTAGGCTCGAAGCCTCTGTATCGAAGTCACCCTTGACAATGTGTAGATCGGGCGCTGTCTGGCGAAGAAAATCATATGTCTCTTTGTCCGTGATGTTGCCTAAGCACACCACTTGGCCGATCTTTCCCGGCGCGAGGAGCTTGCGGAACTGCGTCGCAGAAAGTGAGCCGCATGCTCTGATCAGCGAATTCTCCGGCAGGGACAGACCTTGGGTGGAATCTCCTGTATCCAAGTGAGCACTTTAGCGCATTCACAGATACCACAGGCGAAGGCTTACCGGTGCCCGATCTGGAATAAATAGGTCGCCAATGACCAGCACCAATCTTGAGGCCATGCCTCTTCCCGCAGACGGTGCTTTCTAACAGAAACAATGCATGTCAAACGGCTCGCTTCGGTTGAAACCACCGGCCGCCGATGGGAGAATTCAGGCGGAATGTCGGAATCGCGAAGAGGTAGTGTTGCATTTGGGGGGGGATTCACCTTCGCATTTGGCATCTTATAGAAGGCGCATGCGAAGGACGCGAGATGCGAGAGGAAGGTAGGCCGACCACCAATGAGACAAGGCGATCCTTGCGTTGGTCTCGTGGGTGCAGGGCGTTGCGGCTGAAGCACTGCAGGCGGAGTACGGAGTACATCGCCAACACCAAGCTGAACGTCGGACTCTGGAGGCAACTCTAAGACAATTCAAACCCACGCCCTATATGACACCTGTTCCTGTCTTCCCTGGCGATCGTGCGTCCTCAGAACCTGTTGCCCGACGGCTTTTCACGCTCCATAACCTATTTTCGGCGGTCAAAATGATTCGCCCGTCTGGTATCCACCGCCACACACCCTCAGCTCACTCTCCAGACTGCAGCCCGACAAAACATGGCGAGAGCTATCCTCCTCCTCCGCGTTACTCCGTACCTATAGACTGAGATGCTTCGGTGCATATGCACCTGGTTGCCAAACGCACCACTGGGGCAATACCACCTCGGCGGGCTGCTGGCCCTGGAAACGTTAGTCACTGGCAGGTCGGAGTCGGGGATTTGAATGAGATTTGCCAAGCTGCGGGACAGCACCTCCGCGATGGCTCAAGCGCAGGCTGTGAGGTCTGGTCGGCTCAACTCTGTCATGAAAATGCCCCCTCCTTTCTCACTGTTGGGATGCCCTAACTGCATCCTGACCTGGGCCGGCTAGGGACCAAACGCTCCTCTCGATCACTACTAGTACTTTCTGCGAACCTTCCGTTGTGTATCCTCTCGTGTTAAACCTTCATGGAGGCCCTTGGTTTGGCTCGCTTGTGGTGTCATTTTCTGTTCCGCCGACCGCCGACTTGACAAACTATAACTTCGAGACTGACGCTGATACTGTCGGATGCCCAGTTCCGTTGCAGCTCAAACAAAGCCTTTGGGGGCCACATTCAGCTTTTGCAAGGCGTCAACAACACCAGTTATGACTGTGGGAAGGAGGCAGCAAGCTGGTGACGTGCCGGTGAACGACTTCTCAACGGCTTGACATCCCTCTCATTCCGACGCCTCTGGGCTGCATATTTGTCGCAGCTGCAGCGGCTCTGCCGCCACAGACACATCCATTTTCTTCCATCATTTGGAGTCTCGATGCTTATTGGTTATGGGTAACATTGGCAGGTCCAGTAGAGGTTGCACCCGCTGTCGCAAACGGAAGATCAAAGTAAGGAATGCCGCAACGAAGGTGATCAACATCATTGATAAGGTACCAGTGCGACGAAGGCAGACCAGGTTGCCAAAAATGTGCCCAGCTACGCCAACCTTGCCCTGGATATCCTTTCCAGCTACAACTCCAGTTTCGAGAACCCCAAGCCGGTCCATCTTCAGGCCCGGAATTAAAAGAGCAATCAACTGGTCCCCACTACCCTCAACCTCGACCCATCATCATCGCAGCCCGAAAGGCGGGCTCAGAATACCCGGCCAAAGTCAAGGCCGAGGACGACGCAAGCGAAACTGCGTTGCAGAACATTGCGCCTACCCAACGGTCAATATCGCCCCCATTACGCTATGACATTCCACATCAGTCGATGTGCTTCTTCCTCAACCTGTTCTGCTTCCAAGCAGGCCGCCTCTACTCCTTCCCCGTCCTTGATTTCTTACCGGATATGCTTCGGACCGCGGAAGACGGTTCTTGCGTCAAGAAAGCCGCCATGGCAGTGTCTCGCATGACGTTAGCTGATAGATATAGTGGCAAAGACGTGAGGCTGCAAACCGGCCGAGAATATGGTCAAGCCCTGCGCCTAACCAACGCCACGATTCGTGACACAAAGGCAAGCATACAAGACGAGACAGTACTTGCGGTTTGGCTTCTTGGACTTTACGAGGTGAGACGTGGCGACTCCGGGACAAGTACTCAACTTACACCCGGACTCAGATGATTAGTGTTGTGCTCACTCACGGACGCACAAACGCCGATTCCCCAACACTCGAGGAAGAATGGCAGGCACACCTATTGCATGTAAGAGGTGCCATGAACCTGTTGCGCCTTCGAGGGATGTCCCAGTTCACCACGGCCCGTGGAGAGAAAATCTTCCGCATCCTAAAAGCGGCCATTGTAGGTTGCGCTGATCGCTACGGCTTGGCAGACATGCTGACTCTTCCAGCAAATGCGACTTTTCATATTGACTTCGGTCTTCTCCAAAGACTTCGACAACCTTGAGATTGACATGTACCAGGACGAACACGAGTTCGTCCCTTCTCCAACAGCAAACAGAGCATCTGCGTACTTTCACCGAGTTGCCCGGTTACTGGAAAAAGTCAAACAGTTCCTGGCTCAAATTCCTTTGCAACCAGAGAAGACCAGGGCCATGGCGGAATTGTTCTTGGAGAGCGGTGAGACTGTAGACGAAGACATGGCAGGCTGGAGCAAGGATGAACCTGGCTGGGATATGATGAGGGTTCGAGCTCCGACAGCCGGCACGATGTGGGCTCTCTATCCGTCACACGCCCTCTATTATTTCTACAGCTTCTGGGTTTTCTTGTACTGGCTACGATTCCTCGCTGCTCGGTACAAACTGTACGAGGGCCTTATCGAGCTGTTGAAGCTTGATGTTGCGCAGTCTTCTGCAGAACCTCGGACAGTGCCCACCAGCGTTGACATTCGGATGTCAAAATACCGCACCATCATTCAGATGACCGCATCCGAGCTGATTGGTCTAACGGCATATGCTCTGGGAGACGTGACACCTACTGGCGCCTTCAATTCATCTATATCTGGCCAGCATCCTAGGCAGGGTTTCCAGGAAATAAACGTTGTTGCTGCGATGCAGCTTGTCCTACCACTGAAGATGTTGCAGCGATCTGAATACCTCACGGCCACCCAGAAAGGCGCGGTCGATCTGGCAATTTCGCATATCGGCGACGGGTTCCGACGGCAACCATTGATGTTCCTTTGAAGAGATGAACATTTCCAAGTTGCGGCCCCCTTCAGGCTCCACAAACTTTGCGCCTTAATGGTGGGCACGGACAAACAGTGAAATGACCGCAGGATTACACTGAAGCTAGAGCAGCAGAACAGTGCCCTAGGTTCAGTTTATAGCGCGGCACTCGTCCTTGGAACTTCGGGAACAGCGTCTACGAACCGCCTAAAAGCCCGACACGGCCACCATGCGTCGCAGCCATACGACGAATGCGAAAGGACCATTGGTTGTCCGCGCGTGTAATCAAAGAAGGCCACTGCCGTTCGAAATCCGGTCGGAGTCGGTCAAAAACGCGCCCAAGGCAGTCCAAAAAGTTCACGCATCCTCGTACGTGACATGATACGGTGATGTCTGGAGTCCAACAGTTCCTACTATCACCGGGACTCCACCCGTTTCCCCTCAGCCTAATCCTCATCACGGCAATGAGTTCTGCGGGATACGTAGTCTCATCGACCCCAGACTGTCCCACCATGTACCTCTTTTGTTGACCAGTCGGTAAGCGCAGATTGGCATCGACGCACCAGGAGTCCCGAGGTTCTTTGCGTGCAGATGTGTGTGCTACCGCTGATCAGAGGTAGTCCTAACACGGCGAAAGAGCTCGTTGGGAACAAAGGTGCGCCGTTACGGGCTCTGGAGTGCTTCTAATGTCTTGCCTATCATTCTTGAAGTAACGTCACTGGCTCAGGTACGTGCGGAACCAAATCAGAGCCTGCTATTCTCCTGCCAAGCTGGCACATCACCTGCTGGCTTGTCTTGGCTTGCACGGGGGTGGGGGGATCGCCAAGATGTTGCAGAGGGATGAGGGCGCCTTCCACTGATATCAGCCTCTGCAACCTCTCACTCGTCGCGGAGAGCTTGGCGAGATAAAGGCTCCCGAGTGTACGATGCTGCACAGCTATGGTTTTACCTCTAGACGCCTGCCTCTTGTGGAAGTCGTCAGAATCGGTCCAGCGATCATGAGAGCACCAAAAGCATCAGTCCTTACTGCTTGCGTAATCGGCCATGGAAGCATGGCCAATTTGACTGTGGTACTAATACCAGATCGCTACCACCAGCTATCCTCCTAGGATTTCACCTAGACCCTTAGTACCGTTGTTCGAACCCCAACACCATGTCCTCTGGTGCCGCAAACGTCGAGTCGGCCGAAGCTGCCACTGCCAACGTTCCTTCAATGGACAAAGGCGTGGTTGAGAACGCGCAACAGCACGACGAAGCACAGGCCCAAATTTCTGATAAAGAGGCGCTCAATGAAGTACTCGTAGGCCCAAATGGGGAGCAGTACCCAACGAGCGAGGAGCTCAAGACATTGAGACGGACTCACGGCCATGTGCCGTGGTTACTCTATACTATCGCCTTCGTCGAGCTTTGCGAGAGATTCGCCTACTACGGAACCACGGTCGTTTGTAGGTCGTTGACATGCGCCGGCGATCAATACTGACATGGCACAGTTGCCAACTATATCAATTGGCCCCTGCCTCCAGGATCCAAGACAGGATCCGCGGGGACGGATGGCCAGGCCGGTGCGCTGGGTTATGGCTCTCAAGCTTCCACCGGACTCATCCTCTTCAACTCTTTCTGGTCATATGTGATGCCGATGCTTGGTGGTTACTTGGCCGACACATACTGGGGCCGCTATAAGACGATCAATGTAGCTATCGTCGTTGCTACCTTCGGCCACATTATCATCGTCATCAGCTCGATTCCGGGGGTGATTGAACATTCCAATGCTGCCATTGGCGTGTTCTGCGTCGGACTGATCTTCTTCGGCATGGGCGTTGGATTCTTTAAATGCAACATTTCTCCTCTCATTGCGGAGCAGTACGAGGCCGCCCACCCAAGACCGATCGTCTACACCGAGAAAACCGGAGAACGGGTTATCCATGATCCATACCTCACAATATCTCGCATCTACATGCGGTATTACTTCTTTATCAATGTCGGTGCGCTCGTGGGGCAGATTGCGATGGTGTGTCTTCCTTGTCTACCTATCGCGCTCCGTCCGTATTGACACCAGCAGGTCTACGCGGAGAAATATGTGGGATTCTGGTTGGCATTCTTGCTGCCCACAATTATGTTCCTTTTCTGCCCGCTTGTCATGATCTGGTGCCGCAACAGATATGTAAGACATCCACCAACAGGCTCTGTTCTGTCTTCAGCTGTACGTCTCATCAGACTGGCCATGGACGGCAAATGGACTCGTCCAAAGGAAGTGGGTGGCGATGCATTCTGGGACCGGGTCAAACCTTCCAATATCGACAACAAGCCGTCCTGGATGACATTTGACGATGCTTGGGTTGAACAGGTTCGACGTGGCCTCTCAGCCTGTGCCGTTTTCACGTTCCTCCCCATCTACTGGCTCAGTTACTCGCAGATGACGAATAATCTGGTCACTCAGGCGGGCACGATGAAGTTGGACGGCCTGCCGAATGACCTGGTGCAGAACTTGGACCCGATCGCCTTGCTGATTTTCATCCCAATCTGCGACAAGTTCATCTACCCAGCATTAGCCCGGAAAGGCATCAAGTTCACCCCAATCAAGAAGATCACATGGGGTTTCGGATTTGGCTGTCTGTCGATGGTGGTAGCAGCCATCATACAGCACTACATTTACGTCAACGCCCCTTGCGGCAACAACGCCACCGATGGGGACTGCATCGCCGAACTTGGGCCCCCGGACATGAGCGTTTGGATCCAGACGCCAGCGTACGTGCTCATTGCGTTTTCTGAGATCTTTGCATCCATCACGTCGCTCGAGTACGCTTTTACGAAAGCGCCAAAGAACATGCGCTCTTTTGTGACGGGGTTGTACTGGTTCACAAACGCCTTCTCGAGTGCTATTGCACAGGCGTTCGTGCCATTGGCGGTGGACCCGCTGTTCACCTGGCTCTACACGTCAATTGCTTGTATCAGTTTTGTGGGCATGGTCTTGTTCTGGATCTGTTTTCGGAACCTGGACAAGGAGGAAGATGCGCTCAATGCTCTCCCGGAAAGTACTTACCGAGGCCGGAAAAACAGTATCACGGACGTTGAAGCGATCCGGAAAGAACAGAGTAGGCAGGCGAAGATCAGAGAGGTGCAAGGCTTCGCTCGCGGTCCTGCGGTAGTCACTACCGCTGAACCAAAGGCATGAGGCAAGGCGATCAGCAAAGACCGACATAGCAAGGTCGTGGTGCTACTGTCCAACAGTGGGAGATCCAGGTTTCCTCGCACGGAACGAGCTTACAGTTGGCTGAATAAATCTCACTTCTAGCTTTGGTAGTTTTTGTTAGGAAGCGCGAGGCCAGCCCACGAAGGACCAGATGTGAAGCTAGCGCTCTTGCCCTCTGCTCGTGCTCCTCACATATATGGTGAGCTTTGAATAATAATGTGTGTACGAAGTACAGTAGAGTGACAACGAGCGAGTGGTCCGATCAAGTGGAGTAGCTGAGGCTGAAAAGGGCCACGTTTGATTGGTCAGCTGCGGCCGCCAATGAGATGACTCCCCGCGCGGGATTCTTGATTCTTGTTTGCGGCGACAAAGCACCAGAGGACATGCAGATGAGCTGCGTTATATTCATTTCCTGTCCATCTATCCGTCACAACTCATCCTGCCTGCCACTATGGCGACGCTTCAGGGCACTGGAATTCCCAAAGTCAAGCTAGAGTCAGTCCCCGATGAGAACATCAAAGTAGAACCCTCAGATACTCCGTCGCCATTCCTGGGCGAGGATGAGGACATGGACGAAGACGCAGGTGATCTAGACTTCTCGCAGGCACAACAACAGTTGTGGCTCAGTCATATTCCGCGGACCTTATGGCAGAAGTTGTCGCAGATAGAAGATGACGACGAGATTGAGATCGGCAAGATCCGAGTCGAAGGCTCGGAGTCGAATCCGTCAAGGGTACGTTCGTCGTTTTCCAAGTCCTAGCAAGCTGGCCTCTGTTAACACCGTCCTCACCAGGTCAGTCTGTTGTTGTACCCGAACCCCGTATTTGAGAACGAACCCAGAGAATACAACCTCTTTGCTGCTCCACCAGAGAAACAACGCTCCCGCCGGCCGGGCCAAGCATTTGTCTTTTCAGAAAGGGATCTAGCGGGCTACAAGCCGAAATCATTTACATGGGACGAACTTGACGAGGAGGGTAACCCGGGACAGGGGCGATCCAACCTCTACGAACGGCACAGACGTGAACAAAAGAAAAAGGAAAACAAAGGCCGATTTGTCCCTTACTCTCGACGACCCATACCCAAGCAGACAGCCATCACAGGCACCATCGCCAGAGAATTTGAAGCCGTGCCTGTCAAAAATGACGAGTATTTCACGCTGGAGAGCAAGCGGGCGGCCGCGATGCTAAAAGTCCGCGTCCAAGAAGAAGCACTTTTCAGGACTGGTGACGACGACCCGGAGAAGAAGAGCAGAAATATTTATAAGAGTCGGGCTGAAGCACAAGCGGCGGCCAAGGTACGTGGGCTCTTTTGTCCTTCCCCTTCTTCGTGGACTGGGCTCGAACTAACACACGTCGAAACAGGCAAACCAAGCGAGGAAACGCGCGGCAAAAGAAAATCGCGCCGCTCGTGTGGACAAGGACGTGCTTGTCGACAAGCTCATGGCGTTGTTCCGCCAACATCGGATCTGGGGCCTACGCGATCTCAAAGCAAAAGTCAACCAGCCGGAAGCCTACTTGCGCGAAACGCTCGAGGAGATTGCCTTTATGTGGAAGCAAGGCGACTTCAACGGCAAATGGGAGTTGAAAGACGAATACAAGCAGGGTGATCAAATGCTTCTGAATCCTACCGGCGTGGAGATCGCGCCCAAGGCCGAGGACACAGATGCGGATACAAAGTCGGGGATGGATCTGGATGACGATGACGACGAGGACGAGTTTGAAGACGTTGTTGAGGGCTAGAGGTCATTGCATCGCGCCAGACTGCACAGAGACGGTGTCCTTCGGCTGCCGCGATTTCTACTCCGTTATGCTTGACAATTGATACCCCTTGGGTTTGGGCCGGGCCGAAGAACTTGCTACCATAGATTGGATCTAGGTGACGACGGACGCAACGGCGACGGAACCGCATTTTTAGAGGGGAAGCGTTCGCCTCTGACCTATGCCTGTGTAGCTTTGGGTCTCTGAACCACCCGCACCTCGTTGTACCAATGACACGATTCACCCCGATGCCGACCATGCATCCTTTGCTCGGACAGTCGCCTGGCGTCGCTTCCGTAGCGCCTGCCGTATTGCAGCCGACACCACCGATGCTCGGCCTGCAACGCCCTCCGCAGCAGAGAACGTGAGGGGCGTACGAGAAGATACTCGGGGTAGAAGCCACAGATCATCGTGGGGCCGCGATAGTCGTCCCCCATCATGCTGTCGATCAGATCCTTCCTCCGTGGCTTGCCTTGGGAACGAGATACCGGCTAGTCCCGATGTGGCTAGAACGCGGAGTACCAGCTGATCACGTGCCACTATAGCCGGACGCACATCCTTGACGGCTTCTCATCCTCCCCTTCGTTCTGTATCCTAGATGTGCGCTCACCTCCTCCTGCGTCCGGTCGAATGCGGGGTTGAGGCCGTGTTTTGTGCATCGCAATCATGCTCAGCTTGTGTCGTCACCGTCGTGCCTGTCCGGCAAAGCAGCATAGCCGGACCTGAATAGGCAAATTTCCATAGGAACGAGAATGAGGGGGTTCGACTCCAACGCCGTCGTCATTGGGCTTATATCTGGACTTGCAGCCATGGAGTTTGGACATGTTCGGACCTCCAGTCGACTCGTGAGCCTAAATAGCAGTGGTGAGGACGTGGACGGAGCCTTGGTCGACCTGTGGTACTCATCATGCCGCTGTACACGAAGCTCCCGGGCGACCTCCAGGAGGTGGATGTGATTGTAAGTATACCGGCATGAGCCTGCCTGTGCCTGCCAACATAGTGTGGGAAGTTTCAGCTGCTGACGAAGTCCAGGTTGCTGGAGGTAATGCCCATGTCAAAGATGATCATGACCCCAAGATTCCCCTTCTGACGAAGCTGTCATGTCATAGGTGGTCTTGCTGGATGTGTGGTAGCCTCACGGCTGGCCGAAGCGGATCCCAACCTGTCGATTCTCGTGATTGAGCAAGGGCCCAACAACTATGGCATGCCCGAAGTTGTGCATCCGGCGCTGTACCCGCGGAACCTCTTTCCCAGCAGCAAGATCACGCTGTTCTGGCCAACGAAGAAGTCTCCACAGCTGGCGGATCGGACTCCCATTGTGCCATCTGGAGGCACGCTTGGCGGAGGGTCTGCCATGAATTGGATGGTCTACACCCGCGCTCAGCGGTCTGACTTCGACTCCTGGAAGACACCCGGATGGACCGCCGATGAGATGCTCCCCTTCCTGAAGAAGGTACGCCTCCTCCTGGCTTTTGCTCAACATGTCGATCCCGTGACTAATCTGCTCCACAGATGGAGACGTACCATGGCAAAGGCGACAAGGACCGCCACGGCTTCGACGGTCCCGTCAACATTTCCAAGGGCACCTACGTATGCAGCCGCGCGGAAGACGCCTTTGTGGAAGCTGCCGCGAAGCTCGGATACCCCGAGGCCAAGGATCTCCAGAACCTCGATGCCAACAACGCCATAGAGCGCTACTATCGCTACGTTGGACTGAACGGACGACGCCAAGACGCTGCGCATCGGTACCTGCACCCTAAGCTGCAAAGCGGGGACTATCCGAATCTGCATGTGTTGGTTGAGAAGCAAGTCGTCAAGGTCCTATTCGACGAGAACAAGCGAGCCGTCGGCGTCGAGTACCAGACCAATCCCAAGTACCTGCCTAACCCCGAGTTTCTGTCCACGGCGTACACTGCCCGACGCACCGTGCGGGCTCGCAAACTGGTCGTCGTCTCGGCAGGAGCGAATGCCACGCCCGGCATCCTCGAGCGGTCAGGATTGGGCGATGCGAAAGTGCTGGAAAAGGCTGGAATCCCAGTCCTCGAGGATCTCCCGGGCGTGGGGAGCGACTACCAGGATCACCACCTTTCACTGTGGGCGTATCGAACCAATCTGATGCCGCGTGAAACCATCAACGGATATCAAGACGGGCGTTTCAACATTGACGAATGCATCAAATCCACCGACGAGCTCCTGGGCACCAATGCAATGGACGCCCAAGGTAAGTTCCGGCCGACCGAGGCAGAAGTCGAGGCCCTGGGACCCGAGTTCAAAAAGGCATGGGACCGAGACTTCAAGAACGCGCCGGACAGACCTCTTATGATTCTTGCGCTGTACTGCTGGTAAGGAGAGCCTCCCCACTACACTTCCGGGCCACCGTCAAGCCCTGACACTGTCCCCTTACTTATCGATACTGACAATCATCCCCCCCACAGCTACTACGGCGACCATTCCGTCCTTCCAGACGACGCCGAATACGTCTCCATGGCCAACTGGACGGCGTACCCTTACTCTCGGGGGAGCATTCACGTGACGGGCCCCGCCATGTCGGACCCGGTCGAGTTCGACACCGGCTGGCTCACCGACCCGGGCGACGTCGACATCAAGAAACACATCTGGGCGTACAAGGTGTCACGCGAGATGTGGCGGCGCATGCCCATCTTCCGGGGCGAGCTGGCGTCGACGCACCCGCGCTTCCCGGCCGGGTCGAAAGCCGCGGTGATTGAAAAGGCCGATGGTCCCGTGGTGACCGACGACGCCTCGCGCATCGAGTACTCGGCCGAGGACGACAAGGCGATCGACCAGCGGATCCGCGAGATCTTGTCCACGACCTGGCACTCGCTGGGCACGTGCAAGATGGCGCCACGCGAGAACAAGGGCGTGGTGGACGGGTCGTTGAACGTCTACGGCGTCCAGGGCCTGAAGCTCGCCGACCTGAGCATCCCGCCGGAGAACGTTGGCGCCAACACGGGCAACACGGCGTTTGTGGTGGGCGAGAAGGCCGCCGACATCATCATCAAGGAATTGGGGCTCGAGGGGAAGAATCAGTCCCAACCTCAAGCTAGATTGTAGCGGAGCCGAGCGAAGCGAGGCGAGACGAGGCGAGACGAGATAAAAGACAGGGGCCGAGGAGGAGATAGAGAAAAGACTGACGTTATGAAATACACGCCTTTTCCAAACTCGACACTGTTCTTAAAGTATCCTTGAGCAGAGTTCCCCGTCGCCCTAGGACCGCGCCTCCCAGGGTAACGTCTGCACTTCCGCGATCGATATTTCTGACATATTATCCTTGCATTATCCACGAGTAGAGTCCCCTTGCCCTGAGACCGCGCGCCTGCCAGAGTACAGTAACGTCTACACTTCCGCGATCAATATTTCTGGTATATGCAGTATTATTACCCTCGAATCATTATCCTCGAGTAGAGCCCGGACCCGACCTGGGACTTGCGCGGCCCCTGTACTCTGTACGAGCGACGAGATTTTGTAGGAATATCATATACAGTACAGTACAGCATAGTACAGTACAGTACAGTACTCAATACTTAAGTTAGGTCCTCAACTCGGGTCTCCTCCAGCTCCCTGTCAACCCGAGGATGATGAGCAGCGGCGGCATGATACTACAGTAAAGTGCGTCGGCCGCTCTTGGTCCATGACGTTTGGACGGACGGATAGATGGATGGACGGACTGACTGACTGACTGAGGCGCCACGTCGTGTCGGTACGGATACAGTACAGTACATATAGTAACTCCGTGGATAAGGTAGTTTATATATATATATATCTAGGTCTGGTCGGCTGCCTGCGACTGCGACTGCGACTGCGATGGCGACTACGACTTGCCCTGTGATTGAAGGCGTCTGTTTGGCGAGCCTCCCACTCGAACGACGTTGCGGTCTGTTCTTTCTCACTGAGACGAATAGGAAGGTATGAAGACGGCCAGCAGCCTCGAACGTGAGAGGCCATGGATGGTTCATACCGAGTTAACTCTACACGGCACTGTACAGTACCCCGTAGAGAAAGACTGTGTGGTGCAATACTGTATCGATATATTGCCCGAGCAAAAAGGGGGGGTTGGTTATGTGGCCTGAGAAAGACATCCTGTGCCCATCTCAGTCGGCTACTCACTCGCTGTGTCAGAGCTTTGACAACCCGTCTCGGCATCTAGTATCGTTCTTCTCGCTGTCCTGTCAATCCCATCGCCGCCAATAATGCGATTGGGAAAGGATCAAGGTCGCAACATCGTGGGACCGCTTGCTGTGATGGACTGGGAAGACGGACAATCATGATTGCTCAACGGCAGCTTGATTTCCAGATGGATCAATCGAAGGACCACTTTCCACTGCTGGGGGCCGTTCTCTCTCGACCACTGCGTTCCGTTTCGCACATTGTTTCCTTCCTCCTCGCACCAGCCCGATCCCCACCAACACGCCATCGCCGCTTCTCTTCCTCTTATCAAACGCATGGTCCCAACGACCGACAATGTGCAGGACCGACTGACACGCCAGAAGGCGGGGGAGGACAATGATCGCGAGCGACTGCGGAATCCCATTGCCGAGAGGTATCTCGACATGGTCTTGCGCGACCTTAGGGACACTCTAGGCACTGGTCTTGCAGGATTGCGACTGCTCTCTGAAAGACATGGGCGATGTCCACCCCGCCAGCACAGAACGCTCTACCACCACCCTGATGGGATCCGAGCGCCTTGACTTTGGCTTGTCGTGGCTGATCTCTGACATCGAAAGTTGAAGGCTGAGAGCAATGACCATCAACCCAAATTGAAGTGGCCAACTTCTTCCTTCTCCAGTATGCCCGGCCATTGCAGCCGTTGCCAGAATACCGCGTGCGTCGCGACGAACCTCGACTGACGCCGGTGGCGGTGAACAAAGGCACTAGGACAGCCGAAACGACCTGGCTTCGAGAGCTATTATCCCATCGTGGCCTCGGCTCCACTGATGCGCTGGCTTGGCAGGGTGACACTGGTCGCTTGAAAAAACATAAGTGTTGCAACGAGCCACATTGGAGGACGCTCACGCAACCCAACGTCAGACGATACGCATATCAATCTTGGTCTTTGTGCTTCTTCTCAATACTAACAATCCTTTTCCCTCCCATCTTCTTGATGTGCTCCTCCAAGGTGCCTTCTGCGTCCAACCTTGCAAGGTCGTCGCTTCCGCCTAGGCTTTGTGCATTGATCATGATATTCGGGACTGTCCGTCGACCCGTTAACACGGCCAAGAGATCTTGTAACTTTTTGCCCAGGGTGGGTGCTGGAGTGTTTTCATCATCGTCGTCAGCATCGTGTGGGCGAGGAACCGGGTCGGTCATCAGGTCGAGCTCGACCACATATGGTGCGGGCGTGATGCTGTAAGTTTGGAGGAGCAGAGCTTTTGCGCGTTTCGAGTATGGGCAGTAGGATTTCGAGAAAATGATGACTGTTCGCCATATTGTCAGTGACTGCGAGCCCCATGATGCGGAAGTTCACGTACTCGGACTCTTCCTGAGAATGCTTTGCAACTCTTCTCTTGCGAGGTCTTCTCCTTCATCTTTGGCCTTCTCCACTTTGTTTCCGTTGTATGCGACCTCTTCACCCTGGCCGTCTGCGACAGGGGACGCCACGCCGGCTGCCTTGACAGTATCGACGGGGTACCTGGGCTTGTCCTTGGGCATTGTCTTCCGGCCGCCGATAGGGACTCCATCGTCGAAGCTGATGGTTGAGGTGTACGGATGAGCGCCTTGCACGGGCGACGCGTCAAATATCTTCTGATCCCGGTCCTGATCTCGCAGCTCGCTCTGCCGGTCTAGAATCTTTTGCAGCTCGCGGTTCGTCTGCGCGGTCAACTCCTTGTCTGAAAGTGCGCCCCTGAGCACGCCGCGACGGCGCGATAATGATGCCTCGGTGGTCTTCCGGAAATCCGTGCTCGACCCAGACCCGGAGAAGAACAGGAAGTAGATGAGGACGATGCCGAGAGCGAGGAACAGCGCTTGGCCGCGCCGCATACCCGCCATCTTGTCGCTCGTGCGGTGGAAATCGGCGAGAACGTTGTATGCGATCGCACCAGATGTGAGAATGAGGTGACCGGGTCGTAAAGAGAGTCGCTCTACTCCTCCTTATGTGTTACCGATGCTGTCTAGAATATCAAGTCCGGGAAGAATGCAAGTCACCAGCGTGCGCACTATCCAAGCGGCACGGAAAGAAGGGGAGAAAGGTCAGTCTTGAAAGGGCCTGGCAGTGGCAGGAGAGGAAAGTATGAGAAGAGTCGCTGATCCGTTCGGAGAATTGATAGGGAAATGAGGTCAAGATGGCGGGGGATAACTAACCGAGAAATGGATTAGCCAGGCACATCGCTTCAGAGAGTGCAGCCACAGGAGTTACAAGTACTGATCGATACGAACATCTTCCGCGCCAGGAGGGTCAGGGCATAGTCGGTCGATAACGCTTCGTCAGGCTTCTAAAGAGGGTTGCTGTCCCTGCGCATCGTCTCGCGACAATGAATCCATACGATGGCCCCCAGAGAGGATACTGAGCTCGCCCAGGGCCTGCAGCAGGGTCTACCCAGTAATTGCAGGTGCAGGGGTGCGTGGGCGGGCGGCCGTGCTCTCTGGCGTCTCCCCGCAAATTGAAGGGCGTCCAGGGGTGCCTGTCGCTCTGGCCCGCGAAAGGCTAGAGGCCAAAATTTCTCAAAGCAATCTGTTTAGGGTAGGGCTAAGATTGTCACTCATTATCGTCCATGGCACATTGCCCCATTTGGAGCAAGTCGAGGCTATGTCTGGCTGCACTGAGGGAAGCCTAAGTGCGAGAGAACAAACAACAGGTCACGGAACTGTTCAAAAATTGGTTCGTATATTGCTGCCAAGTTCGGCAACTCGTTTCATGCGCTCTCACAACCTCGTTGGTGTCGATGTCTCGTATGTTACATACCTAGCTATACACAGTACGGCTACTTTCGGTTCCAACCAATCGTCTCACATTCTCATCCAGCCCGTCGAATAGTTTTCCAAACGCCGCGTTCAATCTTACTATCCAATGAGATGCTCGTACATATCTAGGGTTTCGAGAGGGAGCCTGTCCCTTGGCGGCTTTACACCCGATTTCATCTTTCATGCAATCAGTCCACCCAGAACGACCTTCTGCACGCCCATCATCTCCCTCTTGGCCGTTTCCCGGGACGTCTGCTCGAACTCACGTATAACCGCCGAGACCATGACTTTGCGAATCCGCCCGTCAACTTTGGAGAACAGGTCGCTGATGGCCGGCGTGCACGCGGGCGGTCCCGTCAAGATGTGCAGGAGCCGCTGATAGGTGTCGATGAGGACGTCACATAACGTAGCAAAGACGGTGAAGAAGTCGGGTGTGAATGGAAGAGGCGGAGTTTGCAGGTGAGTATATGGTCCCTCGTTCGGCAACAGCGTCGAGTTCGGGGCGTCGAATGGCGCCGGAGGAGGAAATGATGTTGCGCTGGGGAAATTGATCGCCGACATGGGAGTCAGAGGCGAAGGGTTCACCAGCGTAGTGGCCGACGACGCAAAGGTAGCCATGCTGGCTGTCGTGTCTATCGATGGCTGTGAAGCATGGTGACCGGCCTCGGGCAGCGTTGACGGTGGGGACATGGCCGGGAGCATAGGAAGGCCGATGTCTGTGACCGGGCCACTCGATTTCCGCGGCCGGGAAGTTGTGGCTGCTCTTTTAAACATCTGAGGTATTCGTGCTCGACTTAATGAACTGGCCGAGCTACCATCAGGCGGATGGAGTTGTTGGAAAGATTCAAACTCGGCCAACAAGGTATTCAGATTCTTCAAATAGTCTTGCGCAACTGCCGCGCTGCTTGCGGCGCTGGTCTGACTTTGGGACTGAGGCGGATGGAAATCCAAAATCATCGGCAGAGACATTCCCAATAACATATAGTTGACGGCCCGTCGTGACAAGCGGTTGGGCGTGTATGATGGTAGTTTGGCGATATCCGCCTCAGTGAATTGGACCGTGTTGAACCAGAACGACCGGCCTTCATGCGCTCGGCGTAGATAGTCCAGCGTCGCGACCCTTTTATGCGCCATCTCTTGTATGTGCACGTAGAGTGCGGAAGTGCTCGGCTGGCTCGAGGCGGCCGCGAGGGAAGCCTGGCTGGTTGGGAGCATCCCATTGAGGGCCAACGCCGACGCGACATCCGGCTCTCGTGTCTCCTTCTCCTTTTTCTGCGTCGTGTGAGCGCCTGAGCCGTCATCGCCAGTGCTGACATTGCTGTTGATCTTGTGGAGGGGTGCGCGATGGGTGCCCGAGGTGTTGTAGACCGGAACAAGGTTTCCAGCCGGGAGAGGCAGCATCTTGTTGTTGCCGGTAGCGGAGCTGCTCACATCACTGGTGGTCCGCGTGACGAGATCGGATTTGATGGCGTTCAAGGAGATTGGGGCTGGCGGAGCAGTGGCGGTTCGTGTGTAGGCGGGTCGAGGCCGAGGGCGAGGGGGTGTTGAACTGGCACCGTCGAGGGAGCCGTTGGATCCCAGAGGTTTGTGTCTGCGTGAGGGCGATCTGGCAATCTTGGAGAGAAAGCCTGTGGCTCCTCCACCACCTGCCGCTGCTCCTCCTGAGTTGGAGGAACTAATGGAACCATCGCGAGATGCTGGAGGCCGAGGCAGTGTTTGAACCTGAGTGCTAGGCTCAGTCATGATCCCACTCTAATCGTTTCTCCTTTGTGCCACCTGACCGGTCGGATCGAGATGGCCGAATCAAAGCGAAGCCCAAGTCAATAGTGTGCTCCAGCGAAGTGTGCGACTTGGGTCGAAAAGGGCGCGGACAGCGAAGGGTACCTGCAGATGGTGTGGTAGATGGTCACGAACAAACAGGGGTTCACCACGGCGAGGGAGGCCGAATTGTGGGGATTCACGACCGCTTCCACCGCCTCGTGCCACTCATATTACGCCATCTGTACAGGGGGATCCCCATCCTTTCATTCCTTCTCGCAGAGGCGCATCTCCCTTTAGCGCACAGAAGGCGCCTGAATTCCGCGACTGTTGAGTTTTTCACCTACACCAGCGACAGTGGCATGGACATCGAGGTACCAAAGCCGGGCCACTGGCCAGTTGACCCCCAAGAAGATGAAGAAATCCGCAAAGATCGCATCTGGGTCGACGGATGCTTCGACTTTGCTCATCACGGTAGGTCGTCACCAAACGAAAGGTAAGCATGTCTGACCGGATCAGGTCATGCCGGTGCGTTGCGACAAGCCCGCCAGCTAGGTAAAGAGCTCTACATCGGCCTCCACTCGGATGAGGAGATATTGGAGAACAAAGGCCCAACCGTCATGACATTGGATGAACGGACTGCAGCATGCGAAGCGTGCCGGTGGACCACCAAAGTCATACCGCACGCTCCTTATGTGACGTCCTTGCCTTGGATCTCCCATTACGGCTGTTGGTACGTGGCCCACGGCGACGATATCACATCTGATGCCGGTGGGGAAGACTGCTATCGCTTCGTCAAGGCGGCTGGTCGCTTCCTTGTCTTCAAGCGAACGCCAGGGATATCCACCACCGACTTGGTGGGCCGCATGTTGCTCTGTACCAAGACGCACTTCATCAAGTCTCTAACAGATGCCCTCCAGGGGAAGACTGACGCGGGCCCTGACCCGCAAAAGGAGGCAGAGGGTGCTGAGATGCTGGAAAGAATCAAGGACTATGCTACGGATGAGACAGCTTTACACCCGGGTGCAGAAGTATGGTCGTGGGCTGAGCAAGAACCAAGCGAGCTAGGAGAGCCAGAATCTCCCGACAGTGGCCGGTTCGACAAGATTGTAGCTGGAAAAGGTCCCGCACCTGGCCAGAAGATCGTTTACGTCGACGGTGGCTTCGATCTCTTCTCCTCTGGGCACATCGAGTTTTTGAAAAGAGTCAGTCAAGCGGAGAACAACGAAGCTTTCGTGGTTGCTGGCGTCCACGATGATGCCGTGATCAACCACTGGAAAGGCCTCAACTACCCTATCATGAACATCTTCGAGCGGGGACTGTGCGTCTTGCAATGCCGGTATATCCACGCCGTTGTATTCGGTGCGCCGTTTTTGCCCTCGAAAGCATATCTACAAGCAATGCCCATGGGCAAGGTTTCCGCTGTCTACCATGGTCCTACCACGTTCATGCCTTCCACATTCGACCCTTACACGGATGCCAAGGAGATGGGCATTCTGCGGCAGATTGAAGAACATCCTTACTCTCATGTGAATGCCGCGGAGATCGTGGGGCGGATTATGAAGGGCAGACAAGCGTTCGAAGAGCGCCAGAGGAGGAAAGGCGAAAAGGCAGTTGGCGAAGAAGCCGTCCGCCAGCGAGAAATTCTCGAGCAACAGCAAGCGGCCGTCGAGGCAGAACGGCGCGCGGCCATGCAATGATGCGGGCTCCTTTTCTTCCGGTTTCGAGTGTGCAAGGGTTTGACGAGACTATATACAGTGGCCCCTGCCTGATGATGCGATGGACTTCTAGAGAAAGCTTCGGCACGGATAACTGCCAGCAGCGTTAGCATATAACGATGGTTGTCGACACGCAAATGGACATACTCGTCTCCATAACTCGTCGGTGCCTGCTGGTACTTTACGTCTTTCGCTTGCCCCACATTGACCGGCATAGGAGGCAATCCATTCTCACCGAGCACTGCGGCCGCCTTTTCATGCTCGAAATACGCAGCGAGTCCTCTCTCGCCTTCCTGTTTCACTGCGACCAATTGCTTACTGCCTTCCTCGCCAGCCAACAGCTTCGGACTCGGGTTTGCCGCACTTCCTAACGTCAACAGCCCCACAACTTCTCCCTGAGTGACCGTGCTAAGTTTGGGGTATGCTCGTCGTACGTCTCTCTTCCAATACGGATTATCTGCAATGTCTGCCGCAGGCGTCGTCACGGCGTCATCGTAGGACTTGGGATCAAGAGCAGCCGGCGAAGGATTGCGAAAGTGTTTGACAGGTATGCCCGTGCTGCGGTTGGGATCGACGGCGAAGTATTTGTGGATAGTCGCCCAGATACCGTTACTTTCCTGCGTGTATTTCTGAAGCAGGCCGTGAGCGAGTCATCGTGGGACAGCTGGTTACGAGACGCATACCTTGGCCAAAGAGACGACGTCCTTGATCGGTTTGGCGGCCATGCTGGCCAGGCTCAAGGGGATTGTGCTATTCCAGTTCTTGAACCAGATAGAGAGTCGAGTAGTGAGGAGGATAAGAAAGTACGAAGACGAGACACTGTCGTAGGGAGGACAACACGGGTTAATCCCTTCAGCTTGATCGCGATCCGCAACTGAGTCTCAATTGATGTCGACAAGGTCGAGCTCCAATCGACATGGGCGTATCTGGCTCGCCGTACTTTCTTGGCAACGGTACAGTAAATGGCCCTTAGCGCATTTCTATCTATCGGCACGTGATCGAAAATACCAACCAGCTTCATGCTTCATAGTCCTTGCTCGACTCCTGCCTTGGCTTTTCAATTCACTCATCTCATTCTGTCTGATCTATTAACCTGCGATTGTTCAGATGTGCATGCACCGTTCAATTGCGGGATCTATGCTTCGTTCGGCCCAGCTCAGTCTATCACAGTCGAAGCACCCACTGACTGCTGATAACCAACTTCCTTGCCGCTGAGAAGTGCGCGGCATCTTGTTCCGCAATGATACGTTAACTCCAAATGACGAATCAGACGGAGGTGAACGGTAGGATGTTAATCTGAGGAAACCGTATACAATGCTTTCACTCCTACGATGCTAGTACCGTATCCCTCGTGGAAAACAATTGTGCCGTCTTGATTCTTCTCTTCAAGGGACATCGCCGAACGCTCGTCGCTGCTTAACGTGGCCCAAACTTGAAGCTAGTGTCGTTGAGCAAAGAGAGGGAAAGTCCAACGTCCCTTGTGCCGTACAGCCTTATATCAACAAATCCAGGGTAGCACGAGGCGCAGGGCGTCCACCACAGTCTTCACGACCAACATGTCAGCCAGGCCCAAGATCCTTCTCCTCGGCCAGATCGACCAGTAAGCGCACCAGTCATCCTGCGTGTATTTGTATCTTTCGGCGCCAAACTGACGATCACAATACAGTGCGCAAGAGGCATGGAAATCGCTAAGTTCGCTGGGCGACCTGGTCACTCCAAGCGCCACAAATCGCGCCGACTTCATCCAGGAATGCCAGTCCGGCAAGCTTGACGGAGTGGTCGCCGCGTATCGCACCTTCCAGTCCGTCAGCATCACGGGCTTTTTCGACGAGGAAATAGTAAAGGCCCTGCCAAAGTCGTGGAAATTCCTCGCCCACTGCGGCGCCGGCTACGACCAGATCGATGCTGATGCTTGTTCGGCGCGAGATCCACCACTGCTCGTGTCAAACGTGCCGACAGCAGTGGACGACGCCACCGCCGACACGGCCATCTTCCTTATGCTGGGCGCGCTGCGCAACTTCAACACCAGCATGGTGGCATTGCGCAGAGGCGACTGGCGCGGCAATCCACCTCCAGCACTGGGCCACGATCCTCAGGGCAAAGTGCTCGGGATCCTCGGCATGGGCGGGATCGGACGAAACATGAAGAAAAAGGCCGAAGCGTTCGGAATGACGGCCATCTACCACAATCGCCGTAAACTTGACTCTTCCCAGGCCGATGGCGCCGCGTACGTCTCGTTTGAAGAACTGCTACGACAAAGCGACGTGCTGAGTCTGAATCTGCCACTTAACCCGAAGACGCGCCACATCATCTCCACGGAGCAATTGAAGTTGATGAAACCCAGCGCCATCATCGTCAATACGGCACGCGGGGCAGTCATCGACGAAGCTGCGTTGGTCGACGCGCTAGACAACGGTGTCATCGCTGGCGCGGGTCTCGATGTCTACGAGGAAGAACCCAAGATCCACCCCGGTCTCGTTGGCAATGAAAGAGTCATCTTGCTGCCTCACATGGGCACATGGACAACCGAGACCATCAAGAAGATGGAAGAATGGGCGATTGAGAATGTGAGGTTAGCCCTGGAGACGGGAAAGTTGAAGAGTCCGATTTTCGAGCAGAAGGACATGCAGTGAGGGGTCGGTGGTCGCGTTCCTCCTTTTCTTCTTCCTTGGACTGTTCAGGTTGGATCAGACATAGAAATATACAGACAGGTATCCGTAGACGAGAGGAGCCGGGCGCGAAAGCAAAGTGCTCCGCTGGGATCTTTGATGTGGGAGCACCCTAGAACAGATTTCCACACAGAGCAGTGTGTCTGTCGATTTCGAGCCAGAATGCGAGAACATGGCTCATTTCGACCAGACCGGTGTCTACAGCGAACGACCGTGTTTCGGGCGCAGAAAACGGAGTACATACTGTACATGCACAATCTGGACTCAACTTCAGGTGCAGAAAACGGAATACATACTCTACATACTCCATACTCAACCTGGACTCAACTCCAGCAGCAACCTTCGCTGCACCACAGGGTCCCCGCTCCTGGCCGGCGCAAAGTAAATAAGACGCAGCACTATTCACAGTACGGGGTACGGAGTATATTCTCTTATGTTTCGATTCTGTCCAGACGAGCTGCTACGGGCTACAATACATGCTAGAGTACGGCGTACAGACAGAGAACAGGTGCGAGAGCGTGAGCGGTAGCACCACACAGTATGTACCTACTGGGGTAGGTAGGTGCTTACAGTACTCCGTACTCCGTAGGTACCTTTCACGACCACGCGTACTCCGCGACACATACAGTAGTCCGACCTGACCTCGACCTCCGGCCCCCATCGGTCTAGAAGTCATTCGTTGCTCGCCCGTCTGTCTGTCCGTCCGTCCGTCCGTCTCTCCATTCGGTGAATTTGACCTGCAAGCGAAGTCCGCGTGCCGCCGCTTGGGTTCGGGTGCCGAGAAAGGACGTACGTACCTGACGCACTATTGTACCTAGGTACCTAGGTACCTACCTGACATTGCATGTACATACTCCATACCGTGTACCTGCACTACTTCGACTTGGCGTATCGCCACGTTAAGTACCTTGGTACAGTAGGTACGGAGTACCTACCCCAGGTATGTGTTGGCGACGAGATTTCAGCTCCACGAGTCATGCACTTTGCACCTTGCTCCTTCTGCAACCTCGTTCGCAGGGAGGTGATAAAGACGTGGTAGCTACATACGTATGCATGTCGTACATGTAACTTTTATGCTACAGTAGGAAGCCCGGAGTACGGAGTACAAGGACGAGTACCAGGCAAGCTGCGTGCGGCAAGCTGGATACATACGTACTTAGATTTGGAACGGGACCTGGACCTGAATCTGCCGTGCCGTGGGACTGGTGTTTTGACTTTTGAGTGAACTCTACCCACTGCAATCGTGTACAGGCGTGCCCAAGGGGAGCGCACGGGAGGAGGTACTTACCAGGTAGTGTTACTGTCGGCACCCTCGTCCATGCACGGCAGTGTGTACTAAAACTACATAAGTAGGTACTCACACGTTACAGTATCTACATACTCCGTACATGCTCCGTACATAGGTAGTAACTACCATAAGCCCGTTCTTGTCAGGATCAAGAGGATCAATTAAAGCTACGGTACCACAAAGGCGTGACAGGCCTGGCAGGCTCACCCCCAGAGGTCTAGACCCTATGAGCCTTATGCACAAAAACCCCTCTATCCTCGATCACGACGAACCTTCGTATATCCCCGTACACAGTCACAACCCACAGGTTGCGGCGATCGCAGCAATCATCGTCGACGGAAGATCCTGTCACAGTACGGAGTATGAGCCGTGATGAGATAGCACCCACCACCCGCCCGTGAACGCAATGGTCCGGGCCCCACCCTTGAATGGCCCGCCGCAAACTATCCACCTCCCTCGTATTGAGTAACAGTACGGAGTAATTAATTGATATATGTTCCTGGTCGACTCCTGCGGTCTTTCACTCAAAAAGAGCCACCAAAAGTTCGTCTCGCTCGCCCTTGCTCGCCCCTGCTCGCAAGGGTTTATTTTGACTTTGGACGATCCTCGTTCTCTCGCCTCGCCTCGCTCTTAGTCCGCCGCACGATGGCAAGCTCCTGCATGCTCGCTTAGAGACCGGACGGAGTAAAAGTACGAGCTACGGTCAACAAGGTTTCGACGTCGCTCTCATTGGTTACGGAGTACGGAGTACAGTAGCTCGACTTTTTGCAGTCTTTGTCACCGTACTGTAGCCCCCAGGAGCTGGCATGATAGGAGAGAGTTGAATGTCCACGGTGTGCCATACTACATACGCTTCCTTGGTCAGTCAGTCAGTCAGTCTTTCTGCGCCCCGACCGGCCGAAGCCCGAGATCAAGCAAGCAAAGCTCACTTGCGGCGAGCAATCGCTAGCTATTTATCCGCTGGGCTGTTCCGCCAGCAGAGGGGAGCTACTGCAAAGTGGAGGCACTCTACATGACAGACGGCACTTCACCACGTCAGGTATTCAATAATGCTTCGTGTGACGGGTCAGGAACTTGTCAACCAAGTCCGCGGCGATTCGTCGTACCCTAATAGCATCCTTTCCTTCTCGGGCCCAGGCCTAGGCATAGCCCAAGTGCATTTGCGTGACAAATCGCTGGCCAGCATAGGAACTACTGTACGGGTAATTGGAAGCGACATGGAACCACATCTGATTACAGGAGTCAAATAGAGCTTGACTTTTCGAGAGCGCCCCATATGTTCGCGGTACAGAAAGGGTATGTCTGCCATCTGCCATCTGCCATCTCGCCGTGTATCGGTCGGCAGAAGAACAAGGATGCCGTACAGAAAAGCGCGAAGAACTATGCAAGTGGTGGTTGTTCAGGGAGCCGGGTTGGCCGAAATTCAGGCCTCAAACGCCCTCAACGCCATGCCGGATATAGTCGCAAATACTTGATTCGTAGCACGTCCATTTGCCTGTGTTTCCAGGTATCTCTTTGCAAGTTCTCGTTCCGAAGTGAGATCACCGTTTCCTCCTGTCGCAAGTAGCATTATACTGTAGATTATGTCCCTGTTCTCCAGGCCATCGAGAAAGGACCGACACCGACGCACCGCCGCCCCCGACAGGCCGGGGCTAGAGGAAGACTGCGTCGCAGCTGCCGCTTCGACCAACTTCCAGAATTCCTCGGATCTCCGTGCCAGCTGTTTCTCGAGCGTCGTCTCTTTTGGTTCTGGCTCAGCTTCATCTTGATGCACAAAATCCGACATGGAGGCCGTGGGGTTGCTGAAGGATTCTCCCGTCAGAATCGCACCAAGTGCCCGGCATCGGAGCGCCAGTTGATCTGCCTCTTCACCGCCGTCATGTTCGGGTCGAACGCACAGTTCGAGCATGGCCCAGGTGACCCGGGCTTCTTGACTGGCCAAGGTCGCATTCTCCACCGGTGTGTCTGCGTGGTTGCTCACCAACGTTAGATACGCCAACATATTGCCCAGGCGAGTGCGGTCCGTGCAGAGTAAAGGAAAACCGTGGTTGGAAAACCATTTTGACTGCCCTGTCTCCAACAGTCGGTCGAGACCCGGAGCAAACGCAACATCGTACACCTTGCGGATAGACTCGAGGTTAGGGACGGAATCAGGTGGAATCGGTGGTACACTCGGAATTCTGGTGCCAGCAATTGTACAAATAGACTCAATGGTCCTCGTGGTTCGTCGAGTGCCGATCTCCATCATTAATGCACTGGCACAAGTCAGACGATGGAGAAAACGTAGCCTCAGCTCCACTCACTTCGTCCAGACGGCGGCGGTGGGGGATACGGAGCTAGGCCAGTGTGGTGGGAGTTGTCCATGTGATATGGCTGATTGATGTGAGGCAGGAGCTGTTCCGGCGGCCGCGGGAAGGGATATTCGTTGTGATCTCGAGGTGAACTCGACACGATCGACGAGTTGTGGTTCGCGGCTGGAGGGCTGATGGGCGTGGCCGAAAATCTCCGGGCTTGAGCACTAATCGATGACGGGGGAGGGGGGTTGGAGTTGCTGCTGTTCGGTGCTGAGGACGATGGCGCTGGGTGCAACGAATGAGGCCCCTGCGCCTGGAAGACGGGGTCGTAGCCTTGACAGGTGCGCTTGCTCTTCATGCAATTCCTGCACTCGGGTCGACCTTCATCGCACTGTCAAGTGAATACCAGCGATTAGTGCCATGCAAGGTACAGGAGAGTGAGCGGAGGGGCGAGAAGGCTCGGGACGGCAGCGCGCAAGTGGACGCGAGGGAAACTACTGCCGTGTGCCCAAACAGGGAATTGAGGTGAGGGAGTAATCTCGAGACGAGAGAAGGCGTTGGAACGATGGAGTCGCCTAGAGGAAAATTCGTGTAGCGCCGTTGAGTTCGGGATGAAGGTTGCGAAGGTTTGTGACACGGCGGAGATGGCAGCGTCGATCACAAGGCCCGAGGCCTAAATAGGCCTGCGCCTTTGGGGCGGGCGCTCCCCTGGACTTTGGTGCTAGGCGCCACCCACGGCTATCACCCACTAGCCCAAGTGGAGCTCCGTGTAAAGTTGCCCTCGCCCCAAGCTCGTTCTGTGGCCTGGCCTTGCCATGCGCCCACTGTCCAATTTGCCTGCCAGCGGCCGCCGTGGCTGTGAGGATGGTCGCGGGCGCCCTCAAGCGTCGAGGAAAGAAGAAATGCGAGTGCTCGGCAATGCGGAAATGGCGGTACAATGTGCAGTAGAAATGGAAGCTGGACTCACCTTAATGCGCCGTTTGCGGCACGTCAAACAGCCCGTCTTCGTCCGTCTCTTCACCTCTTTGGCTTTGTGACGGGGCGGCGCAACGATCAGACTCGGGTCGGTGGTTGACGGCAGGGCCATCCGTCCCGGCATCGGCTGGTATGGTGAAGGGATCCCCGGATACATCGGTCGTGCTTGCATATACTCGTGAGGCATGGGCGGCGGCGGCACTGGCGGAGGCGCTGGTCGAGCTGCATAAGGGTACGGCAACGGTGGTAGTACACGCTGTTGTGCCGGCGGCGGGGGCGGTAAAGGTTGCACAACTTCTGGTTCTGATCGATGTGCCATGTGCGTGTGGAAATCGATGCTGCTGATCGGCGGAAGGCTGATCGACGACGTCGAAGACTGTAACGCCGCCGTGCTCATATTGGAGTAGTTCATCAGGCTCGCGTGTGCCCGCCTCCTGCTGTTTCCAGCGGGAAGACCTCGTCGCGGAGGATCGATGCGATGTTGCGACTCGACGGTGATATCGATTGCGAGCTCCGCCGGGATTGACGTTGTCGACCCCGTGCTCCCACCAAACAACCGCTTCAGCGTATCTCTTCCGCACACCAAGTTGAATGTCCCTCTTCTGGAAGTTTCAGCTGGTCAGCGCCCATACGCAACACCTCGCTCCGGTGACGCTTCCAGGAAATTTTGCTAGTTTGTCTCGCCGACAGATATACTGTATATGCCCGCCAGACCGCGACCAAAATACGTCTTTGGCAACGACCAAGCGAGATCAACGCAGGGAAGGAAACGACGTACAAAGGAACAACCGAGCAACGCAGAGAACCAGACGGATGCAGGACGGAAACAAGCAACCGGGCAATAAAAGAGGATGGAGCGCGAAGCGAGGATGCGAAGAGAGCAAGGTACAGGAAGGTGTTTAGAGTATGCAGCGTATGGCAGTGCCTGCACCATAGTAACAGATGACTTGATGGAGGAGCAAGGTGGCATAGCACTGGCTGGGAGGAGCAGCGGCGTGGACAGGCATTCGAGTTCCACTGACAGGGCTCGACAGGACAGGGGGCTTTTCTGGAGTGCTTGGTCACCCATTTGGGGCCCGTGAAACGGTCACCAGTCCCCAGTGGCTACAGGCTTTGACCGTTTGAGCGATCGCTCGTTGCTCAAGGCGTCGCGGACGTCCTAAGTGCCGAAGCGCAGTGAGCATGAATCAGATTTGCGATGGCGAAATTGGAACGAGCCTCGCTTGGAGTCGCTTCGACTCGCCAGCCGCCCTAGACGACAAGCATTATCTGGGGGACGTGCTGCAATTCGAGGTCAACGCTCCGTAGCCTGGCCACCCAAGTCGTTCCCAAAAGCCATGTTGGCCCTCGAGCGCTAGCGGGCAGGCGACGGAGGAGAAGGGACGAGCACGACTCCACGAGTGCCCGAACGGGCCGGCACTCGCAGCTGTTGACAGGTCTGTCAATCAACCCTCACCAGTAACAGGAGGCCGAGATGAGCAGTAATGGGACAGCGGTGGACTGCTGAGCAACGAGTTTGCCAAACCCCCTGGTACCCAGTCAAGAGGCTTCTCGCTTAGGGCATCTCCCGGCGCCAGACGACGTTAGGCCCAAGTCTAAGCACCTTAGGCTCTGCCTCATCTTGCACTGGCACTGTCTGTTCGCCGGCTTTGCCCACTCCTAGCCTTTTCAGCTCCAAGGGCGGTTGCATTGTTTCTGCATCGGCGCTGCTAGCTATACACAGTAACGACAGACCACAAGCTGAAAGCGACAAAGCTGGAAATGGGATAGCCCCGACTATCGAAGGACTAACGCGTGTGCTTCGCGATTGCCTGGTGTGGTCCTCTGACCGTGCCGAGTGGTGGGTACGAGTACCTTCACCCACCGGAGGATGAGCCTCCAGTGACGTGGGCGCCAGGCGGTGGTGATAAGGGAGCCAGCCGGAACACGATGGCGAGCGTGTGGAAGGCACGAGGGCACAGACAGGACGAGCATGATCTTCCACGGACGGCAGTGCCAGAGGAACGATGGATCACGTACCCTCGAGTATGTAATAATCCCGCCTTCCGCCCGTTCGCCTGGAGTTGGTCATGCCGTCGATCAGTTCCTGTTTGTCTACGCAACAGCAATTGGATGGCCTGGCCTCACCGAGTCCAATATCCCGAAAGAGCAGCATACAGTGATGCTGCTTGACCGTTGCCAAGCGACTCTAGAACCCTGCTAGTGCATTTTCGAGAAATGGAGTCGTATCAGTCAAGCGTCCACAATATGGGAAGAGAAAGCCAATACGGAGTATGGATGCCCACTTCTGTAACCGAGGCCAGTAGTCTCGCCCAAGCATCTGCCAGACCCTCCTTGACTGTGCCTACTCGAGCATAGCGCACCGCCAGGCGACTCCGTGTTCTTCCTTTGAGGCTGGCGGTGGATGTGACCATGTCAGCATTCAAAGCACCGCATCAGTCCATTCCTGCCTCGCTGGCTCCAGAAAAGATTCGTGCCTTCCCTACCTGGTCAGACGTCGCCCCCCGCTTGGTGGGCCTATTTCTCTTTTCTGTCCTGGTTCGCTGCCAGCCCGCACTGTCTGCCGTTCAGCTCGCAGCTAACGGGGTGGTTGGGGTGAGGGGAAGGCGATAGACGAATTTTCAGATTCGCAAGCGGGTTGGTTCGGCGTGTGATGCGTCCTGGAGCTTCGCGGTTTGATCACCACGACCCCCGTCGCGCTATCAAGTGAAACAAGTGTTCGAAAATCTCCAGACGACTAGCAGGAAAATAGCGCAGGAACCTGTCCTCAAGCATAGTAGACGATGCTTGACGCCAGCTGCTCCGTCCTTGGACGCCAAACTCCACCACGCCTCGATTATCCACCTATGTTCCGGCGGACAGCCATTTAAACTTTGTGCATGCTTCTTAGCGAGACAATTTCTACCTTGCTCCGACACGCGTGGCTTGGTCTTCGCCGCTTCTGAGAGCCTTGATTCTGATGTGTTTGCTCCCTGATCCCAGGAACGCTCCCACAGTCCCGTCATGATCGCCCACGCCCCCTGCTACGACGCACGAGGGTCCGTGTCCGCTCCGGTGCCGTCAAGGTACCATTTGTCACCCAAACGTCTCGACGTTGCCTTCAGTGTCACATGAACTGCCTGGTCACCACAACCAGTGCATGAAATCATACCCTGAGACAGTGCTGGTGGCGCTGGGGAAACATGCAATCAGCGGCCTTGACCCCTGTGAGCCTCGACTCGCCGATTTGCAGGGGCTTGTGGATAATACGTTCATAATAGCCTGTTCGTGTACGCCTTCCTGCATGGGTACACTGATATGAGAGATGGAACCGGTTTCGCAAACTGAATCATGTCCCGGAATTTGCGTTGTGTTCAGTAGGATCTGGTGCGGCCTGACATGTAAGGATCGCCTTGTCTGTTGCGAAGATGCAGCAAAATATTCTCCGAGCGACTCGGATCCTTGGCTGGGCAGATGCGGTAAGCTCGAGTAGGTTGCAGAACCGACCGAGCCCCTACCTTAGGTCCTGGCGAAGCTGCGAGTGTGCCGCGTGTGCTTCCTTACGGCTCCGTGCAGGCCACTGAGTACTGGGTAACGTCCCGATATGTCAACGAAATAGACGAGGATGACGATGCGCGAACCTCTCGAAAGAGGCTGTGTATCCCGAGAGCCCCGCATTATTGGCCATAATGGCATTCAGCTCATGCATTGCATACCCTCATAAGTAGGCGGCCGACAACGTTCGTTGCATTAATTCAGCCGAGTCTAATGCTGCGGAGTACTTACCACTTAGATCGTGAGTACGCATGAGGGTGTGCATACTCGGACATGATTAGTCGTCTCGGTGTCATTTTGATCACCCGCATCAGAGAGCTCCTAAGCCAATGCAGGACAGCTATAGTTTTGGCCTAGGGTGCAATTTATTTCGAGGTGTTGCACGGCTTGGCTGATTGCGTCCCTACCGTCGGCAGGACCAGTGTCGGACGTTTGCTTCGGGACCCTGATGGGGCTGCCACAGCTGTCATGTTAGAATGCTTGTGCAACTGAGTAACCAGCCGTTGGGTTCCACGTGGTTCCGCCACTCGCGAGTCTGTTGTTTCTGTGCACCAATGGTTGGACAAATTCTCGGATGAGAGTTTGGTTAGGAACAAAGGCAATCAGTCGACAATTAATCATGATCTCGCTTATCTGGGCGTCGGTTCGCTTGTGGCCGGCCGAGGTTACGTACTGCCGTGAACCACCCCAGTTCAACAAGACGAGGGTGTGTGTTTCACCTTTTCAAGATACTTTCGGCCTGCGCCTTTTGAAAACAGGCATTGAAACTTCCTCCAGGGCTTGATCCTTGAGTAACGCCGTTTGAGTGGCCCCGGGCTCCTCTTTCACTACCTTAGGTGTCATTGGGTTGTCGTCTGAGCAAGCCTCGACTGTTGGTGAGGTATGATTTCCGGCCACGCTTTCGTCTTGGGTAAGTGCAGGGTGAGTTTCCTGCTTCATGGACATTCCACTCTCACCTTTAATCTGCGAGCCTGGTTTTTCCGTCTTGACTGGGATTGAGCCAGAGAGGAGGTCATCGAGATCAGGGTCGTCTTGGCCAGGATATGTCTTGGTAGTAGCACCCCAACCGCGTCGCACAACAGCCTCGCCAGCTGCTTCCTTCTCCTCTTGGTCATCTTCCTGGCCTTCGTATCTGCGCTTCTTGATACCTGTACTCAAGGGGGCTTCATCAACGACTTGCTGCGACAATGTCTGCCAGTCACCGGCCATGGCCACCTCAGGGCAGAATTCCTCGGGTACTTTGATACCCATTTCGGCCAGCTGCGCCCATTGTCTCTTGCGATCTGCTATTGCCGGCGGCCCTGTGGCAGGCCTGTGCACTGAAGGCGTCGGTTTCGAGACGGAATAAGATGAGGACTTGTTTGTGTCATCAGCGGCGATCCCCTTCAACCTTTGGACCTCTGACTTTGCGCGTTCTTTTTCTCTCTCCCCTCGCTCATGGTTATTCTGGATGTCGCGCAGAAAGCGTTTGAGGTTGTTCTGATGCTTCGCAGTATTCTCATGCTGTTTGCGTTCGAAGGGAGTGTCTTTGACGTACGTGCTGCAGTGCTTGCACCAATACTTTGGCTGGGCAACCAGTAAGCAATGTGCAACTCAATTTTGTAATGAGCTTACCGTTGATTTCCAGTATTCCGACATGGTGCAGGATTAATGGCTGAGTGAGGGTGTGCTATGTCATACCGAGATACAGATGAGGGATTTGGAGAACCATGGGCGCAGGCAACACAGATCTGCGATCGCTTTGGCTTCGGCAAAGGTATCCCGAAAATGGCTGGTTGATTGGTGGATGAGGAGATATTGAGCACGACAAAGTCACAAACTTGCTGTCTGACAAGCCTACATTGTACCCATTGACTCTGTCATTCGTGTCAGCCGCTGGCCATTTTGTCGGAACTTTGTTCAACCGGTACTTAGAACCCCTTCAGCCAATCACCAACCTGTACGTAGTTGGTTCCGACCTTTCCCGCTGTTTCTGAACCACGGCGAAAAATTTGTTGGAGAAGGGGCGGCACCCTGTAAAAGTACCTCGCTATTCACGCCTTTTCCTTTTGCTCATCGGCAACAACATATCTCGACGACCTGTCCACGTCGCGACTCATCACTCCCACACTCTTTTCCTTGTTCTCTTGCTTTGAGCAGCTGGTCTTAGACTATCAGACTCCTGGACCATCAATTAGACAAAGACTGTGATCACTAGACGCGCTTCGGCTTCCTCTGATTGACGATTTGACGATTTGCTCCTCTCCGAATCTCCTCGACTTGTCCTCCCCCAATCCATCACCATCAGCTACCATGAAGATCTTCTCATCATCCTATACGTTCGACTATTCTTGGGAAGAGGTCAGCACGAATAACTGGCGGAAATACTGCCCCTGGAACGAGAAGGCTCCCCATGTTCTGGCTGTTGACACGGTCTCGCGCCACGTCGATGCGCAAACAGGCATCCTGCGCACTGAACGTCTTATTACATGCCAACAGAACGCGCCGAGATGGATCCTGAACATATTAGGCGGCGAGACCACTAGCTACGTCTACGAAGTCTCATACGTCGACCCTGCCTCGAAAAAGGTTACCATGTGCAGCACCAACCTGACCTGGTCCAATCTTTTGGAATGCCGCGAGACTGTCGTCTATCAGGCTTCCTCGGCAAATCCAAAAGAGAAGACAGAATTTAATCAGCAAGCCAAGATTGTGGCCCTATGTGGCGGATGGCAAAAGATACGGACGAAGATCGAAGAAGCCAGTGTCGAACGGTTCCGGGAGAACGCAGCTCGCGGCCGTGAAGGCTTCGAGATGGTCCTGGAGATGTCGAGGAGAGTCTTTGGCGAAGAACGACAAAGGTTAAAGGCAGGCATGCCGCTTAACCTATGATACGACATGGGGCTACGGCTACGGACGCCCTTTCTGGCTTTCCTTTCGACTTAGCGATATTCATCGACCGCTTCACGTTACCACGACTCTTGGACTCGGCTAGATTATGGATTGGCGTTCTGCATCAAGACTTGTGATGTGGCACCCACCCATCCTTTTGGATGTGCTCTAGAATAGATTGGGTCATGGGAAAAGTGCAGCCTACGCATTGTGTTTTCAGCGCGGCGTTTGGAAGAGATGCTTTCGTTCGATAGCTCTCTTGGGTTGCTCCTGGCCAATGACTTCAGCGAGTTCTGGCCTCACAAGAGACCAAGATACATTAGATCTTCATTGCGTTGATAGAGGGAAGAAACTTTCCACCTCCGGGCTGCGATGATCAATAGACACGCTCAAACGCAACCATATTCAGAGCTTTGAATGCATTGAAAGCAGATTCCGTACAGCTTCGGGCACCATCCACATTTGGCTGGGTTATGCACGAGGAGCGCTATCCGGTGACCCTATGTACTATGTAGGGCTACATGCTCCGCTAAATTGGCCAAATCCCACCATGTGGTACTCCGTGGTGGTCTATAAATTCTCAGCAATTAATAGGCTTTTCGACTCCAAGACACGGAGATTATGTACACAATACTCCGTAGTAGTACTCCGTATCGGGTCGTAGAGGGGCGGAGAATTTACCCTGCCGGCCGGTGGAAGGCGTGGCGCTGGCTGTCGTTTCGGTACAGACCTGTCTCTCCAACATGCTAGCCTCGAGCTCTTTCGCAGGAGTTCTTGGAGGCAGCAATTGGATTGGATCCAGAGTGCGAAGCTCGCCGCGCAGTGCCTTACTTTGAATTTTCCGCACACTGCAGCTAACAGTCAAGCTTGAAGCGACTGGTCAATCACGCTGGCGTCCTGGGTAAAGGCGGGTGATCAGCGCCGGCCCTGGTTCGTCTCAAGCCCGTCCAACTTCGAACCTGCATCCACCGGCATGTCCCCTTCCACCATCCCCGGCAATTCTACGTGGCGAGGCCAATCATGCCCGAGCCATCGCGGTTGTGATCTTCTGCAGTGGTAAACTGGTAACCCACGCGTATGTAGCTTCGTCCCAACCATCCCCCTCCGTACTGTACTACATTTCTGCCATTGTGCTATTTTCGCAGACGACGAGGCTTTCAATTCAATGCCAGACATGTCTTCGCAACCCTTTCAAGCTTGAGCTGGCGCACACCATTAAGACGATATTCGCCCAAATTTCGCGTATCCAACAACAGCGGCTCCGATTGGTGGCCGACGTCGAACTTTCCCTCTCCCCTGTTCGTCCCCTGCGCTGTTCCACGATCGTGCATGCGCGTGCGCTCCTGGGCTCGACACCTCGACACACTCCAGCCGCATCTTGCCCAGCACCGGCAATGTGAGGCATGGACTATCACAGCGATCTTGCATCTGTTGGACATTCATACGACTACGCTTACGACCACAACTTGACCTCTGAGCCAGACACCAGTCCTCCGCGGGCCGGCTTCGCGCAACTATCAACCCTGTCCTCCCTCCCCGAGACGCCGTCGGAATCGGTCCAGGTAATCTCCTCGCTGATCGACTCCTTGAGCAAGATATCTGCGTCGACCTATGTCAGGCAAGACCCCGTCGCTGAGACAAATATCCATATCTCTACAGACGAATACAGTCGCTCCCCCTCGACCGAACCACCCGATGCGGATGATCTGGATAGAGAGCAGAACGATCCACCTGTCGCCGATGAAAGCAGCGAAGGAGAGGCCGCCGCTCCGCCGGTGATCAAATACGCAAGAAGACCGCCGCCGCTCTCTAAGCGGTCGAGTCGTTCCTTCATCCGCTCTCTGAGCATGTCGTCGCAGCCTGCTCTGGCGCCCCGGGAGTCCATACACAGTCTGAAGTCGCGTGCGGAATCGGACAGCGTGGGTCTACCGAGCATTGAAAGACGTAACCGCTCGAGCGCCGGCTCTACCTTTTCATTCGTCAGTGGTTTGAGTTCCACGCTTAAGAGGCAGACGGCCGAATCTGTTTATGAAATGGCAACAACTCGGCCCATCCCTCCAAGACGCGTTTCGTCGGACAGGCGGCGGAAGGCCGAATCACTCTACAGCATGGAACAGGAGAAAGAGAACAAATGGCCCACTCGCTCTCCGTCGGTGGATGGTTATTCGAGCAGCAGTACCCCTCTCGACCAAAGCCCGCCCGACGGTCCGACTGTCGCTGCTTTGCGATTGAGTAGAGGCGACCTGGGGTCTCATTTGATTCCATCTCGACGGTCATCACTGCGGCGCAGCGTGACGGGGATCTCAGACGCGTCTCAAGACCAACACAACCGATACTCCTTCTCGGGCCGTGACTTAAAAGAACTCAACATCGATGCCGAGCTTATTGAGGGTGATAACTCAACCGTGCGACGGATCCGGGAACTGCAGGAAGCTCGGGAGAAGAGGCAGAAGGAATGGCGACATGAAGCACGCAAATCAGAACGAGCCTCGAAAAGACATACCATTGCTACGCCGAAACTTTCGTCACGGCGATCCAGCCCGTATCAGAGCTCGAGGCTTTCTGTCACAGAGGTGGTGGTCGAATCACCCGAGGTCGAAAGCCCGCTCGACTTATCCGCGACTGTCACTCCATCAGATTTGGCTGGTATGCCTGCTTTTCCGACGGCGCCTCCAAAGGAACGGCCGAGCTCGCCTGTTGATGCTAGGCCTGCCACGTCCAACCCACCGAGCGCAGCTTTATCCCGGGGCAACAGTTTGTATCAGAATGCGGGGACCCACACGCAAAGAAATTCTGCTGGTTTGACGATAAAACAGGACCCTGCTTTGGTAGAGATGAAGTCCATAACAGAAGAGGTTGAGGCGTTCCTCGGGGCGCCGCGTTTTACGCAAAAGATCCGCCACCCTCGGACTGGCCGCACGATTGCGTTTTCAGAGGTCGGGGATCCCAATGGCTTCGTCGTTCTGTGCTGTGTGGGAATGGGTTTGACCCGATATCTCACGGCTTTCTACGATGAGCTTGCAAGAACGCTACGCTTGAGGCTGATCACTCCGGACAGACCTGGAGTAGGCGCAAGTTCACCGCTGTCAGAGTCTCAATGCACACCACTGAATTGGGTCGATGATGTGGCCGTCCTCTGCAACTCGCTGGAAATCACCAGATTTTCTCTGCTCGCACATTCGGCGGGTGCCATTTACGCTCTCGCGACCGCTCTGAAGATGCCCCAGTATGTCCGCGGGCGTATACATCTGCTGGCACCCTGGATACCACCCTCGCAGATGCCAAAGGGAGCCGCCCTAGGACCAGACTCCCAACCCATCGCCAATCTACCTTTCACGCACAAAATCCTCAGCGTTCTGCCAGCGCAAATCCTCAAGGTCGCCAACTCGAGGTTCTTGACTGCAACGAGCGCGTCCGTGGACACGAAACCACTAAAATCCAAAAAGAACAAGCAAATACAAATAGAGAGCCTGGAAGTGCATCTAGACTATCCCCACCGCGATCCCAATGAAGATAGCCCGTTCAGAGCCGACATGCCCGAGGTCGAGCCCGAACGGCCGTCGACGGGGACGCCGAATCGAGCACGCGGTATGTCCTGTTATCAAGCCAACAACGAATCGCTCGGGATACAGGGAGCAGCGGCGACAAGTCCAAAGTCGGACTCTCGCCGACAAACTTTCTCCGCTGCGAAGTCACCCGCTGCAACGTCTCGGCCAATGTCTCCCCGCTTGAGCCCAGAGGCACGTCAAGCACTGTACAATCAAACCCTCACCCACCGTATCTGGACACTAGCCACTCAAAATGCAAATCCTGCCTCTGACCTGGTTGTCTGTCTTGAACGCCGTCGGCCCATTGGATTCCGATATCCTGAGGTGACCAGATCCGTGGTAATTCATCACGGCGCCAAGGACTCGCGGGTACCCCTGGACAACGTCCGGTGGTTGCGCAGTGTCATGAAGCGATGCGAGTTGAAGGTCCTAGACGACGAAGGGCATGGCCTCATGGCGAGCGCCTCGGCGATGGCGGCCGTCCTTGGCGAGATTGCGAAGGAGTGGGAAGAATGGGAGAGGATCGCAGAGAACAAAGAGAAGAGGAAGAGAAGTGATGCTGCGTCTACTTTCTCCAGAGGGAGGTCCTTCCACAGTAGATTTGTGGATGCCTCGTACCGGGAAGCTGCATCGCGTGATTCATGAGGCGGTGAGCCTCAAGAGTAGATGTGAGCCCCTCTGATGGTCGATAGGCTTGTGGTCCGGTCTCATATAATTCGAGGCCGCATGGAAACGCATAATGAGTAGCGGAACTGTATATATGGTCCTGGGCTAGCAAGATAGCTAACTGGGAATAATAATGTTTGTCATCCCACGTCGTTTGGGTCATTCCGGCTGGGATGAAGCTGAGCATACAGTACCTGGACGGGACGAAGGAATGAAGATACAGTACACGGGAGAGTAGCACGTGTTGCGACACCGGTACCTGGGATCAGGGAGGCACCACCGGTCAGGTTTCCACTCCGCAAGCGGGATATAGTCCACGGTATCGCTCTGAAATAATCCAGGACCTGGGCAGCTGCCGCCGGCCATGGACGTTGACAAGGTCTCATAGTCGAATTCTCATTCATGTTACTCCGTATCCATCAAGTCCATCTCTCTTTCGCCCGGTCGTTTCCGCTCCGCACGAAGAATCTCGCCGAATGAAACCCCACATACTCATACACTCGCACCCCGAACCACGGGCGTTCCGTAGCGAAGCCTCGCTCGAAGGAAGCGTCTGATCCTTGATCTTCAAACACCGCTTACAACACTTACGATGAGCAAGATACCTGATGCGTGGGAGGACGAATGGTCTGCTGCTGCCGACGACGTATGTTACATTCGACATTTGGTGCAAGTCCTTTCACGGTCGCTTAGCTGACTCGTCCAGAGCAAGCTCGATCCCACCGCGTCTGCGGAACCAAAGAAAGTCTCGTCCAAGGTGACGAAGGCGCAGCGAAGGGCGCAGCAGGCTGAGTTCAATCGTCAACTCTGGGCCGAGGCGTATGGCCTTCCGATTGTTGCTCCTGTCTCGATCTATGCCACTAACGCCGAGATATGCTCTTCCTAGTGAGGGTCCGAAAGAGGCCAATTACTTTCTCGAGTCTCGCAATGTCGTCCCCCTCCGGTCCGAGTACAAGACACCGCCCGTCCTCCTGTCGAGAAAGGGTCCAATGATCCAGTCCCGGCCACGTCGCCCACCTACCGCTGGCATGCAGGACTTGAGCCTGAGCAACGACAAAACCACTCCCGGCCAAGAGTCCTCCGAGGATGAAGACGATCTCAAGGCTCGCGAACCCACCCTTGCGGAAAGACAGGCGCAGGCAGCCAAGGAGCGAGAGGAGAAACAGAAGAGATATGAAGAGCGCAGGAAAGAACTGTTCGGCTCCACGACCACCAGCGGCATGTCTTCGTTCCAAGCGCAAGGCAATCATAATAGGTCAGGGAAATCCAGTCCGGCGAGCCTGACACCGCCCGGTTCGAGGTCGGCCACACCGAATCGTGCTCGGGGAGCCAGGGGTGGACGTCGTGGTGGAGCTGTAGGGGATCACGCCGCAAATTCTCGAAATCAACCACGAGGCGACTTTCAGCAACGTGAACTATACGATCCTTCCTATGGCCCGAAACCGGACTCAACTTACCCTCAGCGACGAGAGCGAGATAGTGGAAGTTCAGCGTCTATTCATGCTCCGGGACTGTCTCAGACGCATGTACAGCAACCCATTAGAGCCCCAAAAGGACCAGATGGTAGTGGCCGAGGAGGGTTTGGTTTCGCCAGGACGCCGATCCAGCTGCAAGCTGCAACGCATAATGGCGCGAATTTAGACACGGTCGATGCTGAAGCCTCCATCCCCAATGGAACCCGCGTCATGTCCTGAGCGCTAGACTCAATGCCGTGTCGGATGTCGCTAACACACCTGTACGGCTCTTATCACGCGTCTGTCAGCCCGGAACATCACGCGGAACAACGGTGATCGTTTGCTACAAGTTCACGCAAGTCCCACGCAGCCACTGGATTATTCGGGCCTGTCCACCATCCTCAGGCGGCGTAGCCCGTCGAAGTCCACATCACACCAAGGAAACGAGCGATAAAGGTCCAGCATCATGAAATGCAATCGATGCCTCCAGTCCGGGAACAGCTGGTACAAGGCATCCCGACTGAAACAGCCAGTATGGTTGGAGCGCCTGTCAGCATGCTGGCGGTGGCAGCGCAATCGGAACTGTTTCCTCCCTGCTGATTCTCGAAGACCTAGAATCTAGCCATTCGCCCCATGGCTGGGAATCTGTTTCAGTCTAGCGGTCTATCCTGCTCCGGCCCCGACAGCAGCAATGGCTCAAGTCCTCAAGCGCCAGACCAAATTAGGGTAGCTCCCAATTCCGGTTCACCTTCGACCAGGCACTCTAACATGGCTTCATACTTCGGTCCTCGTCGACTGGTGGGAACACCATAGCCAGAATGCGAGCACGAAGAAGTCTATGCCAGTGCAGGCGGAGCAAGAGACGAGAAGCCCAGAGCCTACCTGTCCGAGAAGTACAGCATCTTCAGCCACAGGAATCCCGTTGCCATTGAGCAAGAGCTGTATGAGAGCCAGTACGCATGTCATCACTTCGCAGATCTCCTCACCAAGTACCGTGGGCCGGCGGCTGGCCCAAAGATATCCTCGTTCACCTCCGCTAGAGACCGGATTTGGAACTAGGCTTTCATGGCAGATCAGCCCAAGCGTCTCAGTAAGTGCCTATCGCTAGGCCGATCTAAAGCGATGGACTTTTCATACACAAGGGACACGATCTCTTCTTACTTTCCACGGTGGACAACCTTGTTCGAGATCGAGCTTCAACAATGGATGCGTGGAGAAGAGTGTTCGGAGACGGGTGCTAAGCTCGGCACGAGTCGTCCAATCCTGCTCGATTCAGCACTCGTACAAGCCCGTAATGTTAGTCTGGTCTCTTGGTAAGCCTATCATGATTGGCACGCCAGACCACTGGAGGGCCTTCCTCGGGCATCGGTGCGGTCCGACTGCATTTCCTACCTCTCAAATAGGTCTAAATGTGTGGCACAACGCTCAGGACAAGTCGGGCCGCAGGAGTTGTGCTACTTGAAGGTTATGGGGTCTCGGCCCGATATGCTCACGTTTTACATGCTTGAGGCAGAGACTACCGAAACGTCGAGGATCCATCGCTATGGCAGAAGCAATTCCTGCAACGGAGGCTCACTACTGGGAGCATGCTCATCGCCGATGGGCTCGGAGTGGGATGTACACAGTAATGGAGATCAACACCGTATCTAGGCGTGACCTGCCTACGGAGCCGGTGAATCAAGGAGCAGATGCTGCAGCCTACGCCCCAGGGCGGGCCAGACGACGTGGCATGCCTGCAGTCTCTCCGCTCGAGCTCGGCTTGCATTGAGTGCGCCGTGCGCAGAACTAGGCGACTGTCAAGCCCTATCAGCAGACCAGATCGCAGTCCTGTGACGGGGGGCGTGATGGCCATCTCCACGCTTCCTCGGCCGCGAGACCCGTCTGGATTCGCTGGAAATGCGATCGACTCCACGCTGAGGGCTTCCCGGCTGAGATTGAACTCACAGTCTGTCCACAACGTGGTGCCTTTACACGAAGCCATTTGCAAACTCTGTCACACGACGGGATCCCAGAGGTTGGCGGCCCGAAGGTTACGCCCCACGACGACCATCACCTCTGAGCTATATAAGCCGTCCGTTTTTCTGTTCTCGGTCTTGTTCATTCACCACAAGCCTGTTATCTCAACCACCAGCTTCAATCCAGCCTTCCAGAATCACACGGCAAACAAGCCCCAATACAAATCAAACCTCGAACCTTTTCACAATGGAGCCTCACTGCAGCACCTGTGGCCACGGGCCTTCTGGTTGCAGCGGCTGCACTTGCTGCACGGTCAGTACCTTCAACAGCACACGATCCCGTCCACTGACTTGGAGATATGCAGCACTGAGAGACAGGCAACAATTGATCGAAGTCAGTGACTGTCGAAGGAGGGTACGCAACATCAGGGGAAAGTCGTGAGCGCAAGGAGAGTTGGCGGAAGCAGCGGGATGCTGGGCCGGTCATCGCAGAGCAGTTAATCCCACCTCGCACAGAGTCGATCAATCTGCAAGGGAGAAAAGCCCCTAATTAGCTAGCTGTTAGCTGTTAGCCTGGCCTTCAAACCTACCGACACTCATTTTACGTCTTTTGGATTCCTGACCCTTTTCTGTGGCCGCTTCCTATGCTTGTGTTTGCTGTTTCCAACCGCCACGAATGGACCCCAGAAACCCACGTTGTCGTGGTCCCAGGTCTCAGGTCGCAGGTCTCACGGCTGTGCTACACTCGGCCACTCACTCACTCGACCTGCACGCATCCTGTTGCCCATCTGTCTGTCTGTCTGTCTGTCCGCGTTGGCGTGAGGCACATGTCGGATATACTGTTCCCCATCAAGCACACGCGCACCCAGTACCAAGCTACTGTGTACAGTAGGCTTTCTTTCTTTCTTTCTTTCTTGGCTCACGGCCTTGAGCTGACTTGCGCCTCGAGATGGAGGAGTACACCGCACCTCACCGCACCGCACCGTACCCCTTCAACGGTGTGTGTATGGATGTACGTATGGATGTATGGATGTTGCCCCCTCGTCATTGCCATCGTCATTGCCATTGCCATGGCCCAGCGTGCTCTCCCTCGCTATTGGCGTCGTCATCGCCATCGTGCTCTCCCTCGCCATCGACGTCGCCATTTCCAGCGTGGACGTCGTCGTCGTCGTCGTCGTCGTTGTCATCGCCATCGTCCTTGTCATCGCCATCGTCCTTGTCATCGCCATCGTCCTCTTCCTCGCATTGTCATTGTGGTTCTGGACGAATTTGTTTGATGTTTTTCCCAAGCCATTCAGTCGACGTAGACGTCGATTGCGATTGCGATTGCGATTGCTAGAGGCTGAACGTGAACGAGTACGATGGGCCGGGGGGGGGGGGGACACATGGTGACGGCTGGGGTCGAGTAGATTGGGTGCAGTCTGCAGACTGCAGACTATATCGATGGTCGTTCGAGGGTGGAACTTGAACCTCGGTGGGATCGTCTCTGGAGGAAGGGGGGAGAGGTTGGCGATCGAGGCGAGGCGAGGCAAGGCGAGATGAGACGAGATGAGCCCATCCACGAAGTAAGGTCAGGCAGCTCATGTCAGCACGAGGGCGCATGGACGGGAGGTGGTCTGCTTCTCATCTGGCTCTGAGTCTGAGTCTGGCTCTGGCTCAAGGGTCCTCGCGACGATGTGCGCTCGCTGCACGTTTGGTCTGGAGTTTGAGGCTGCGACTCGGTCCCAGTATCGGTCTCGGTCAGGTATCCCATTTCCTGGCTTCGAGAGAGATTGGGGGAGAGAGAGTCAGTCCCGACTCTTTCGCCCAGGAGGATTGAGTCACCCGTCAGAGGTAAGACCAGGGCATCTCGTCAAGTTAATACCGGGGCGCACCGTGTAGTATCATGGTATCGTCGGATCGCGGGCTCTTCGTTCCCACTTTCTTCCCACCACCAGGCCAGCCAGGATCAGCCATCATGGTCATCCTTCCAGAAAGCTGCACCGCTGCTCTGCGCTGAGCTGTGGAGTGTTTCTTCCTCCTGGATGTATGCAAGTCTCATTTGAAAAGTCGACCCCTCAGCTCAGGCAGGTAGGTCGTTCTGTCTTTCTGCAACGCCATCACCGAGTCATCGGTGTCCCTCCCTTCTGCCCTGAACGAGCACGACACGACGACGGCACGACCAGGATAAATGAAGCAAAGGGTTCTGTGGCCCTAGGCTGATCACTGCGTCAACCAGGACCGGTCGCTTGTGTGGCTTGTGACGGGTGTGAGAGCGAGAGCGACAAGAATCGGACAGGTCCGAAGTCCACTTTTCGTCCGCGTCGTCGTGGCTACACAAGGTCTCTTTCGAGGACGTCTGGCAGGGTTTGGGAACGGCTCGGTCGGTCATCGTGCTGGATTGAAAGAAGCATCAGTTTGCTGAAAGAGAGGATAGCCCGTCGGAGCTGGAATCGGGCCTGTCCTCGGACGACAATCCTTTCCAAGCGGTGTTCATTAATCAACCGATCACCTCGACCAGCCAGGAACCGCACTTCGCCTGGGTTTTGGATGTTGGGCGCTGAGGAGGGTTGGGAAGTTGTGTTTTTCAGATCGTCATCGTCTCACCGTATGTTCTCCGCGTCTTCGAGACATGCTCCCGAGTGCGGCGGGATGGGAAGACTCGTCCAATGACCCTCGCCCACGAACGAGGCCCGTGGATGGTGTTCCTGCGTAGCTGCGAGACAGGATACAGTACTGTACAGTAGATGGATGTGAGAGAACCGCGGCCTTCCGTCCGGCTCGAACGCACCGTGCATGATCTCATGATTTCATCCTAAGTACGGAGTACTGGTACTGTATATGACGACCCTAGGGGGAGGGCTGGAGTGGAGTTGATATGATGTGATGTGAAGTAATATGATAGACGCAGAGGAAAAGAACACACATAACGAAGATACGTAGTGAACAGGAAGAAACACGGTACAACGGTGTCCTCGCTTTTGATGCCACGGGGCGACCACGGCCGCTTATCTATCTACTGTCGAAGAGTAGTTGGACTCATCAGCGTCAGCGACCGCATAGACGTGCAGAGCTGTTTTGCTACCATTGAGATGCGTGACCGTCTCGTTGTGACTTCCTGTTTGGGATAGTCCGCTTAAGGTCCTCAATTTTGGGGGGTGTGAGACGCCGGAGGAGGTGGGAAGCGCAAACGCAAGAACGCCGGATCTAAATCCCTTGGTTGAGCGTGGTTTGGTCGTGCTAGGCCCGGATCTATAAGAAGGCGTGAGGTATGAGGTGGTAAGTAGGTAGGAAGATCGCTTGGTCGGCGGATAGAAAGGCTGCGGAAGAAGAAGAGAGTACAGGGTCCCTCGTACTGTATATGGACAAGTAATTAACTCTCCACCACTTCATCTCGTTTCCTTGACTCTCGGTGTCTTGTCGTGTCCCGTCCCGTCCTTCTCGATCCCGGTCTCGATCTCCCGTGCTCCTTTGACTGGTACGAGCAAGTAAGCAAACCCTCATTCTCGACGTTCGCAATGTCCACCGACGGCGTAGAAAGCTCAGGCTTCAACGCCCGCAACGTCGACCTCGCAACCGCCGACCACTGATCCCCGCGCCGTCGCCTGCGCCCTCACCCTCTTCAGCAAGGAGTATACTGTAATGGTAAACTGGGGGCACGCATCTCAGCCCTGTCCGTCATCCTGGTGTGTTCCACTGTTGCGGCTTGATTCCCTGTGGTCGCGAAGCGGATCCCTCACCTGCATATCCCACACTGTGTATACAGTACCTGTGTGCGCGGTACTTTAGAGCAGGCGTCATTATGGCCACGGCGTTCATCCATCTCAGATCTGCTGGCTCCGGCACAAGTGAAGATAGACCGGACACGTGTGTCGGGATGTAAGTACTCGTTTTCCTGCTGCTGGACCTCTCTCTTTCATCCTCGACTTTTCATCCTCGACTTTTCATCCTCGACTTTTCATCCTCGACTTTTCATCCTCGATCTTTCGTCCTCGATCTTTCATACTCGATCTCCTGTCTTTCTCATGCTGACTTGTGGTGCACCAGGACGGGCGGATGGGCCGAATGCGCTGTGTCCGGCCTTTGAGCTCGCTTCGGTGATCATGGTTTCCTCTCGCTACGTCGAGGTCAAGTACGACATTGACTGTGATGTCAGTGACGTCGAGGCAGCCGTCGCGGGACAACACCCCAACCGAGGGGAAACATCCGGCAGCGATGCAGGCGTTGAGTATCAATGAGCACCAAGACCGCCCCGTCTCCGTGGCGGCCGAGGGAGAGTTCAAGCAAGACTTCTCGATCGAGGAGGCTGATTCGGAGGTGCGCAAGGATTCCTTTCGCCGAGCATACCGCGGCGTTCCTCACCTCGAGTTCGGAGTCATCCATCTTCCACTCCGCGGTCACCGGCTTGAATCTCCGTCTTGCAGGGGGCATGAGTTCAGTACACTATATACTCTACCCAGTGCTGGTCCTCCATCAGTCGTTCGAGCGGGTTCGAGGTTGTGGGGATTGGCGAGCCGACGTCGTCCATCCCGTTCAGGGCCCTGGCCCGCAGGCAGTTGACCCCCCCCTTGGATTCTGTGCACAGCATCCGGGTTGACGACGCCGCTTGTCATTGCCAATCGGGGCCTCGGAGTGCGGACCACGTAACAGTACGACCCGAATTCATTCACTACAAACGTGGTCAGCTGCGGTGCTGGATGTCCATCTCGATAGGCATTCTGAGCTACACTGGACTGGGTTGAATTGCTCGTCCCGAGATGTCTTGTTCAACCCGACGAGGGTCAATGGACAACAGACGGCTGGGCGTTCACGGTCGTCTGCGTCTTGATGAGTGCTGGACCGCGCGTGATTGAATCGTAATGAACTTTCGCAGGTAAGTCCCTGCTGGTACAGTAATACCACTTGCTTGCGGCGCGCAGGTAGGTCGCTGCTGGTGGAGTAATACCCTTGCTTGCGGCGCGCGCATGTTGGGAATAGAATACACTGTATTCCGTGTCTGCGTTGCCTGGGCATCGAGTCAATCACGTACATCGAACACCTCTCTCATCTCTCATCCGACATGTCGCCTGAAGTGCGTAGCATAGCTGACGTGATTCATCTATGATACAGTAAGCTGTTGGATAGCGAGCGGTGCCAGAGGACGATGGAGGATGTTTTGCCGTGCTTTACTTGGCATTGGCCCTTCGAGGAGAGGGATGATCCCTTTGGACAATCGAATCGAGTTTCCTGGTCAATGATTCCTCAGCTCTACCCGATAGTGCGAAAGATCCAGCGGCTTGCCGTGTCATTGTTGCCGTGGTCGAGGTATCTGGCGTTCAGTGTCAATCATTCGCGGCTCGTCTGTCCTGTCCCAGTCCGTTGCGAGGTGAGTCCACCACGCACGTTCAGCCGGACACTCAGTCCTGTCTCTGCTCACGTGGCAAGTGCTCATGGTTCGATACAGTGGTACTCCGTACATGCACCCAATAGAGCCAGCTCAAACAGCCGCCCATTTGACCACAATCTCAATGCCATTGTCGATCACTATGCTGTTTGTGTACGACTGCGCGTATGTCATGTACATTGCAGGTGACGGCCTCGCTGTCCCTCCACCGTTACAATCATCGCAGGCGGCGATTGTCCGCAAGCTGTCTCCATTGGTCCGATTCTCGTTCTCAAGACACTCCCTGGCCCATTTGAACACCACCAGGGTTATGCACTGCCTCCTCCTCGGGCAGTCGGCCCCAGACGTCCCCGCCGAGTCCAAAGCCTTCCTGGGCAACAACCTTCCTCGCGTAGTGGATTTCCACCATGGGCTTGACGGCGTCTTTGGCACACCAACCGTCCTCGCCCACGCCTCTGTACACGCCGTGATATGAATTTTCGTCGCTCACGGTGCGTCGCACACGATCATCCGCCTCAATGGCGTCGACCCACTGTCTCCACCGCGTACCGACCTCGGGCCGCGGAAAGTGCCTATAGTAGCTCAGCACGCGGGACAGGCGGAGGATCCAAGGCGCAAAGATCACGTCGACGTAGCCGATTTCGTTTCCAAGGAAGAAAGGTCCAGTCGCATGACTTGCGTTGACCAGCGCCGTGATGTTCTTCTGTAACGTGGCGATGAGCATGCTGTGCTGGGCAGTGGTCGCTGCAACGGCCATCTGCGCGTCGGCGCCACCGTCGAGATGCATTCCGTCCATTCCCATCGGTTGTTCACCGCTCGGCGACGGCGGCGGGGTGAGCAACAAGCTATAGAAGCTCGGCAGGATTTTGCGGTTGATGTGATCTGTCCACAGACGACAATGCGCACGGAGTTGTGGGTTGCCCAGTGGCAGCAGAGGGTGTCCCATGGCAAGATCTTCCAAGTATTCCAGCACCACGCCGCTTTCCCACACACCCCAGTTGCCGTGTCTGATGGACGGGATATTCCCCTCGGGGTTCACCTCGAGCATTTCGGGGGGCCGGTAGGAGTCCACATTCGCAGGCATGATCTCAACCATCTGATAAGGGATGCCTTTGACCTCTAAAGCCATCCAGATCCGCTGCGCAAAGGGGCAAAAGCTGTTGGCAAACAGGGTTATCTTTGTCGGTGCTGGGGCGGCATGAGAGCGGACGGTAAAGTAGGCCATTCCCGAAGCACGGAAAGAAGGCGATACCGACTCTTTGGCCGCGGTGACTTGATCGGCTGGGCTCGCGTTTGCAATGGGAATTTTCTGTAAGGAGGATTAGCTCAGAAACGAAACACGGAAATTCAGAAGTGTCGTTGCTGGTTGTCAGAGAGATGGACGTAAACGTACACTTAAGCGCTTCTTCTCCTTTTCCTCCTTCAACATCCATCTTTGCACGCTGTTTTTCTTGATCCGGTCACTTTCCTCTAGAGAGTGCTTGTGACTCAGGTCATAGCCCAGACTGGGATCCAGAACCGACTGGTCCATATCGTCGTCGGCGTCCCCGTTGGCGTTGCTGTCTCGCTTATGGTTGTCTTTGACAGCGCCTCCTCCTGGATTGCCACGAACGCGCTGGATGGTGTACCAGCGCTTGCCATCGGCACCAGGGTGACCTTGTGGCAATGGCCGCGGAAGCTCCAGCAAGCCGAAGTTCGGATCAGTGGAGTTGTTGTTGGATGGAGCGACGGCGCTGACCAGACCGCCTCCAAGCGCACCCAGATTTCCACCCAGGCCCTGGTTGCCGTCTTCCATGACGATGTTGAGCGCACTGTTGTCCGCAGCTCCATAGCCACCGCCGGGCATGTCATGGGGCATGGCACCATTCGTGTTAAGATCGATATCAGCACCATTGGCGTTCCCGTCCAGGCCCATCTTTCTCGCTTCTTCGGCGCTGAAGTACTCGGTGATCTTGATTTTGACATCGCATAAATCTCGCTCACGAGCAGTACGCTTGCGCTTCTTCTTATTCGGGTCGTCGCTCTTGGGCGTACCGCTCGGGCGGCCCTTCAGTCGGCAATCCCAGTAGTGACTGACGAAAGCCTTCCGCTTGTACTTCTGGGTCGAACGGTGCGAGTAAACATTGTCGACATGGGGAAAGTAAGTGAGGAACTCCTCTTCGGAGAGCACGAGGGTCTCATTGACGTTAAACAATTTTTCCCGCCATTCCTCAAGGTCTGGAGGGTTGGGGATCAGAGGGAAGGTGTCGCTGAAGGGATTGGCTGCCACAGCAGGGTCGGTGTCAGCATGGTCATTGTTGCCAGTGTCGGTGCCGTTGACTCCATCTTCTGCGGGGTTCGGTCTATACCGGGAGGCCCATGGGTCCGTTTGGACAATTCCTTGTGAAGTGGTGTAGACCTGAGACTGACTTGACTGTGACCGCGTGAGCGTAGGAGTGCCATTGGGAAAAGCGGAGGACGAGTTTCTGAAGATGAAGGCGTTCTGCTGTCCGGAAGGCGTGGAGTTAATCTCGTCTTGAACATTGTCCGTCTGTTGTTGGTTCGCCAGCGCCTGCGCCTGCGCCTGCGCGACTTGCATCTGTGGCGTGGAATTGGCCGCGGCCAAACTGCTGTTACGGGATGGTGTCTGCGACGACCTGGTCTGGACAGGGCGTGACTGCTGTGGACTGCGCATTGTGGGAGGGGGTTTGGGGTTGCTTGTATTCCTCAGCATGTTACTTTGTCTTCTTGTCTGTACGTTCGGGGAGCCGTTCGCGGTGTTCATGGGATACGACTGGTTGTGGTTGGCGTTAACAGTCTCCGCCGGCGCATAGCCTGCGTTGGGAGCATCGTCGGACGCAGAGGGCCCGTCATGTTCGTTAGCGAAGCCGTATTGCTGAACAGCCGCCGCGAACTGTTGGAGGCTGTGAGTGTTTGCTGCGTCCATGGCATCCACGCGCTCGATAAAGGGCGAGAAGAGGGAGGATGCTGCCGCTTTAGAGGGAGAGGCGACTTGACTCGAGCTGATGGGACTCCGTGGCGGGCTTGACACTAACTAATCACCCGTGACTCCGCTGCGGCTCCGGCAGACCATCGAGCATCCTAGTGCTCAACATGGAGATTTTCTCGATGCCGATGTTACTTATGATAGCTAATCCTTTTTCAATCACCGCCAGCTTCTATTCCAAGTGATATTCGACCTTCAATGGATGCAACAGTGCCAGTGGTCATTGGGCCTGTAGGTGAGATGGCTATCCCGATCCTCCACACACGGCAGCCCTCCACCACCATGTGCTTGCCCCCCGGCTTTAACCCATCTTCCTGTCCTTTCTCTTGTCGTAAGCCTGCGTGTTCTTGAATGGCCATGCCGACGTTCGCTTGTCGGCGCCTGTCCTCTTCGATAGCCTTGCCGTCGTATCTCCGAAGA